AGATTTCTTAGCACCATTCACAGCAGGGTTTTTACAGCTTTCTCAGATTAAGGTGATCCACACAAGCAAAGACGATGGGTAACTGCACGTGAAATCTGTCCCCAGCAAGTCAGACGACGATGGGCAAATAGGGAGTAAACAAGGAACAAACACACGCATGTTGCCACCTGGGGCATGAAATAAATCTGCTTGTGGGATTATGTTTCTTAACATTAACACTCTCAATGTCAGCGAAAGGATGGTAAAAACTGCTCCGCAAAGTTAGAAGGAAAAAGCTTTCAGTAAAAGCTGTCGTAAATTTGTTTCAAACATTGCGTGAGGGTGAATCCGAACCTAATTGTATTGATTGTGACTTGGATGGGAACGATGCCATTGGCAGAGATGAGTCTTCAAGTGAGTCAGCTCTTGACGAACCGTGTCTGTCAAGTTCAACTTGTCACTCAAGTAGAAGGGCGTTTCCATCACCAAGTAAAGGGAAGGGGCTTGGTAAAAGAAAAGTAGGTGCTGAGACTACTGAGAGAAGAGAGAGATAAAGATCTCCCTTTAGGCCTAGTACTAGTACTGGTGATGGAAGAGACGCAAGAGGGAATAACTGGAGACAAGTGTTTGAAGGGGCTATGATGAATAGTTTTTGTTTGTTTTGTTTAAGTAAGAGTTTTACGGCGCTCGCAACTGCATAAGGTCATATGAGCGCGCGAAACACAAGTTGATCTCACTCATTACAGCTCACTGCACGGCTTGGCTCGAGTCAACGATCAGATTTTAAATAGTTAAAATTTGAGGTAAAAAACAATCTAAAAATGGTAATCGGCTTTAAAATCAAAATATACTTATTTATAATTTTCCCATAAAGGCCAATGGCCTTTATAAAATCAAGGATTCAGTAGGAATCAACGACGGAAAAAATATCTTGCAATTTTTTGCATCTATAATATTTCCTTCGGATCTCTCCGAAGTCTAGACATTCTGTTGAAATGTGTCTCATGGTAAAATCTGTTTCTCATCCGACCCAAAATGGCTTCTTTTCTCCCTGAAGGAGTTATCGGTGTGTCAGCGATGTGTGTCCGATGCGCAATCGAGTAAAAATGACTTCGTCTCTTCGGGAGAGGCCCGAAGGTTTTCGCGGACCCAGTTTGGGCTTGTTGTGTAATTTATTGTTTTCCGTTTTTTTCCAATGAGTCTTCCACAGACTGGAGGTGTAGTTTTTGACTTTATTTTTTAAAGTCAGTCTGTTTGTTTGTTTTAGTAAGAGTTTTACGCCGCGACTTCCCGCCTGAGCTGAAAACAAACAGGCTGACTTTCAGAGAAATGCGATCGTACATGCAGGATACGAAGTACTTGTGTGTAATATTTCAGGACAAAAAGGCAAAGAAACCGCGTGTCTCGGTATCTAGCGAGGCAAACGTATGTGCAGCAGAGGTGAAAGGAGTGGACAAGCTGGTATCAAGATTACAATAAAAACATGAATGGCTGCAACAAATTGGACCAGATGGGTCAGACCTATAACACCTTCAATAGAAGAACAAGAAAGCGATGGAACAAAATTTTTCTGTGGATCTTTGAGATCACACAGATCATTAATGCATTCATCCTTTTAACAAAATCACAGCCTGAAGGTGCCAAGGAGCTTCCATTGCTCGAGTTCAAAAGGAGGCTCATTGATGAGCTGAGCAACTTTGCGACAAAACATCTGGCTGAGATACAAGTGAACAATGAGAACAGAGGTCAGGCCAGAAAACCCCTTGAACAGGGTCTGCAACAGTTCGCATGTCATTGTGAAGTCAAAATGTGACCCGCAAATGCAGAGTGTGCAGCCCACGCGAAAAGTGGGGGAGGACTTCATTCTTTTGTAATGGGTGTGACAGCCAGCCATTTCTACACACAATTGTCTTTGGCAGTTTCACTCGTCAATGAAAGAATGTGAAAGTGTTTGTGAACCTTTGAAATGAACTGTACACAGTGTAAAATTTTTTATTGTTCTTATTCAGTGGTGTGGTGTATATGTGAGGCAGCGTGGTGAAATCAGGCTCTCGTCAAAATAATCTAAGTGAAGAAACTTGCATTTTTCCGCAGGTTTGTAAATTTTTATCAAATTTTTGTTTTTTGGCACAACACCTTTCATGCCCATTAAAGAACTTATTTCTGTGTGGATTTTTCTGAAAAGCTTTGATTAAAGGCATAAAAAAATGTAAATCTTCAGTTACCACGGACTCTTAAGCGAAGGAAATAACTAATCTTTGGCGGCCATTTTCTCACTAATTTTACCTCTGAAAACATGTGACCCCCACCTCCTTCTTTTGCAAATATCTCGACTTGTATTCAAGATAAACGGATATTTTTTGCATCCAAATAAAGACAAGTGAACAAGCTTTAAGATGATACCAATAACTTTACATGCCCAAAAATTGACGAGAGCCTGATTCCAGCACGCTGTCTCACATATGATTTTTCCCCCTGTATTTGACTGACGAACTCTCACAACCAAAATGTAAAGCAAACGAAGAAGAACAGGGGGAAAAAACCATGACTAACCTGAGAAAATTGGAAGAACCAGACATCAAGAAAGCAGTCGAGGATGACTTTACCAAGGATTACTATAAACAGTCTCTTGAGATCAAGGACATAGAAGACAAATGGCAAATATTTAAAAAATCCCTGTCAGAAATACTGAAAAACAGTTGTGGCACCAAACGAATAGGTGGAAACAAAGGCAGAACAACATGCTGGTGGAATGACGAAACCAAAGAAGCAATTAAAATGAAAAAGAAGAAATTCAAGAAATGACAGAAGTCAAAGACCGAAGAAGACTATATTGAATACAGGAAAGTGAGAAGAGAGACCAAAAAAATCATCAAAACTGCTAAAGATAATGCATGAAAAATATATGGCGAGAAACTGACCAAAACCTGCAAGGAAAGTCCAAGAGAATTTTATAAAAGTGTGAAGAGCATGCAACCCGACATGCATTATAAACGACAAAGAGCGAAATGCCATTCTTGGCAAACATGCAATTAAGAAAAGATGGGAAAATTACTTCCAAGAACTACTCAACCCAGACGCTTGCCACGGACAACAAGAGTTTCAACCATCATATGGAGATCAAACAGAACCACCAATACTTCCCAGTGAAATAGAAAAGGCACTCAAGACCAGTCCCAAGAGCAAAGCCCCAGGACAAGATGACATCACAGCGGAAGCCATAAGAGCTTGCGGAAACACCGGTATAATGTGGCTGAGGCGAATTTTCAACAGAGCCTGGGAGCAAAGAAAATGCCCAGAAGACTGGCAGAAAGCCATAGTGGTACCTTTATGGAAGAAAAGGGCAACAAACGCGACTGCACAACATATAGAGGCATCTCACTGTTAAGCCACTCAGGAAAAATATATGCAAAGATACTAGAGCAGCGCATAAGACCTATTGTGGAGAGAAATCTGAGCAAAGCTCAGTTTGGATTCCGAAAGGAAAGAGGATGCTGTGTTCGCATTAAGACAGATATGCGAGAAAACAATCGAACACAACAAAGAATCCAACATCGTCTTTATAGACCAGGAGGAGGATTTTGACAGAGTAAACCATGCAAAACTCTGGAAGACACTCGAAAAGTATGGCGTCAGAGGACAAATGTTAGATAATGTCAGAGCTCTATATATAGGTAGTGTAAACATGGCCTTGCGGGCACTCACGGCCTTCCAACCGTGTGGTATCGGTGAAATCGGGGTAATTCCGATCACTGTTTCTTTGCTCTTTCGCTATAAAACACTAAATGCCGTACACCTTGTAAAAGTTCTGCTTTTCCTCGTTACAATGGTGTAAGTTGTTTATATGTTCGATTATAAGGAGCTGGAGAATCACAGACGAAAGCGAAGCCCCTCGCGGTCGGAATGCGTAGTCGGCCGGTTAAAAAATTGACATGCGTGCATTCAAATGCTTCGCAGAACAAGGGATGATTAAATACCGTCTTTTCATTGGCAGAGAACTGTAGAGCTTTAAACGGGCTTTCTTGTGGTATATATTTGGCCTTTGGCGTTTAAATAGAAAGCTTTTAAAAATACTGTCAAAATGTTTAACTCTTTCTTCACGTATCGCCGCACCCTGCGCCAAGGCGACCAAAAATTTCTACTTTTTCCCCGCACTGTGCGCCACGATGGGTTGTTTCGTATAACCCAACTTCTCAATACCGCTTTTTAAGTAAAACTATAAGATCTGTTTCTATTTTCTTCAAGAAGAGTTCCCACTTCCTTTTGACGCTATTTGCAGTCAAATCTGTTCATTTTTTGCGAAATTCAAAGCAGTATTCTTCACCGACTTCACACTAGAGTTTGTTTACCTTGTTGTCATCAAAAACAAGCAGTGCAGTGATTTAAGATGAATCCAGACTCATTATAACCTAGTACTTCTAGAGGCCGATTTTCGGCCGATCAAGCTAGAAACCTTATCCAGAGATGGATTGCAGACGACTCGGACTCGAGTGAAACCAGTGTCAGTCATTGTGATTTGAATCTGAGTAGTGATGAAGAAGAGCAATCAATGTTAGATCTAGATCGTGGTGCTGATGAGGGCAGATCAGCAAGTGACTGTGAGGTGGAACCAGCTCCAAAGAGACAGTGCAAAGGGAAAGGAAAGGGCAAGTCTAGTACTAGGCCTAGATCTAGGTCTACTCAGTCTTCTGCAACTAATGCTAGATCTACTCTTTCTGATCCTCCTGCTACTGCTAGGGACAATGGTGGGTGGAGTCATATTGAGCATGGAGGAACAGCAAACACCATACGTTTTCTTCCGATAAAGGTTCCAGGTGTGTTGCCAGAATCTGGCTTGGATGAGAATTCAAGTGCCCTGGACTGTCTGTCTCTTCTGTTAGACAGTGAGGTAAAACAAGTGATTGTGACTTTCATCAATGACTATGCTAAAAAGAGAATAGCAGAGAAAAGTGGCAACTTTAGTCCAAGGTCGTTTTTTTGCACGTTGAAAGAAAATAACTGTCGAGGAGTTCGACAAATTTATGGCAGTGCTAATCCTGATAGGTTTAGATCGCCGTCCCGCCATCTCTGACTACTGGTCCATGTCACCCGAGTTCTACACAGCATGGTACCATAGTATGTTTCCCCGACAAAGGTTCCAGGACATATATCATTCCATGCTGCAAGCTGGTGATAAAGATGCGGAAGGGAAGGATAAGATCGAGCCGTTCATGGATTTACTTCTTGGCAAATTTCGTGGGGCTTTTTATCCGTTCCAAGAATTGTCCATTGACGAGATGGTTATTGGTTTCAAGGGTCGATGGCAATTCAAACAATTCAAAGCAAGCAAACCCAGCAAGTATCACATCAAGACGTTTGGTCTTTGTGATTCATCAACTGGGTATGTGATGAATATACTGACATATTTCGGCGCCAATACGTCGTATGACCCTGAAGCAGATGCAGACAGTGGAGCAGCTGTGAGGATCTTTGACACGCTCCTCACCTGTGTTGACAGAGGTCACAAGATCTATGCTGACCGTTATTACACAACGAGGGCTCTTGTTGACCATCTGCTAAAAAAAAAGCACCACTACACCAGCACGCTTATGCTGAACAGAAAATCTTTTCCACCTCAGCTGAAAAACCTGAGTCTGCAACATCGACAACTGCGCTGGTTTCTCCATGAGAATTCAGATGTCCTGTGTGCGGCTTTTCGGGACAAAAAAGCCAAAAAACCAGTTGTTCTCGTTTCCACTGACGCACAGGTGGATACAACACAAGTCAAAGATGTTGACAAGCCGACGGTCATCCATGACTACAACAGTCACATGAATGGCTGTGACCTTCTTGACCAGAAGGTCACATATTACCTCGTCTTCTCCCGCAAATCAGTGAAGTGGTGGAAGAAGCTGTTCTTTTGGATGATGGAGATAACTCAGGTCAATGCCTTCATTCTCTACACCCTCACAAGAACAGACGCGCAGAAGAAGATCGGGTTGAAAAAGTTCAAACTGATGCTCAGTCGGCAACAACAACGATGGCAAAGACAACAATGACCAGGCTAGAGCTCCAGGCAGACAACCGGAGAACAATCCAATGGAGCGCATTCAAGGTACTCGTCACATCATCTCCTACGTGAAGCGTGACAGAGACTGTGCGGTGTGCTCTAAGGGTGGAGCAAGAAAAAGAACTCACTTTGTCTGCCTTGGATGCAGTGGTGCACCCCATTTGCACCCCAAGGACTGTTTCCAAGCCTACCACAATGTTTAATTTGGCAATGAGACAGAACAGGATTGTGTATAGTATGTAAAGATGTGAATATCTTCAGTGTGACATTTTTTGTGTTGTTTTTTTCTCGATATTGTGGCGTAACTGTCGTGTAGATAAATGTGAATATTTCAAAAACTACAGGAGCTATTGTGATGAAACTTTCCTGGTTTATTGCTACGTGGATTACCAACAGCTTCAGCTCATCTTCATGGATATTGACCAATTGAATTATGATACCTGATTTGGTGAGTAGAAAAACATTTTGTGTGAATTTTTTTTTCTTAGTTTTTTTTCTGTCTTTCTGTGTAATTCAACACACACAGTGTACAAAAATCAACACAAACCACACAGATATACATTCTACATTCAATTTCCTCTATTTTGATATATAGTTTATTATGTCTAAAGCGTTTAGTAACTTCAGTATATTGAAATTTATATCATATGTATGTAAAAAAAAAATGTGCTGCCCACCAGAGCTGCGTCACACTGAGATCTGGCCCGCGTATTCATATTCAAAGAGTTAAACATCACTTTTTACACAAAATATGTAAAATACCGGCTTGAAAAAAGTACAAATTAAAAGATCAGTTCATTTCCTATTAGAATAAAGTAATCAGCTAGGAATTATTTTTCATCAATCCTTCCGTGAGACTCGGAAAGCATATGACCCTGCACGTGAGGTAAACAACAGTATAGAGCTGACTCGCTCGCCGCGGGGGCTGGTGTGGCGCCGGCCCGGGTCAACGCTAGGTGTTTTTGTCGAAATAATGACAAATCATCGTGTTTGAGGCGATAAAATACTGATTTGTAGCCTACTGATCTCACAATCTTGAAATAAAATTAGGCTCCATATATTTGTTATAGTGATTGTACTCTGTTAATGGGGAGATGTTTAGTGCACTTGGTACTCTTTTACTGTCTGTCAAACATGGGGTTGCAGCCAGTGACTGACTTTAACAAATTTGATCAAATTTTAAACAACTACCATTTTCTTAAAAATTGACTGAGAGGTTAAAGAATGGTACCAAAATGCTCAGTGGATATAGGCCTTTCAAGTGGAACAGATACATTTGGCATACAGCTACTTTGAACATTTAGTTTCTGGTATCTACTATACCAACAGCAGAAGCTCAGTAAGAACGAAGGAAGGCAATACAGACTGGTTCAAAGTAAGATCTGGAGTACGACAGGGATGCGTTCCATCTCCCCTCCAGTTTATAATATATATGGACATCATTTGGAGGAATTACTTCATAGGGAATTGTGTGCGAGACGGACAAAGTTGCAAAATTACAGCTTAACCTATTATACGCGCAGATACCATCTTTTCTGAGTATCTGCACCAATGTTATGTCATTCATGTTCCAAAAGTTCGACAGTTTTTGTTGTGCTTTTTATTTTATATCGATTTTTTATCATTCACCCTTGTAAACATTTTTTTACAATTTAGCATTGCCGACTTCAGCGCTTCTAATGAAATAACAAGACAAGTTACAATGTCCGTTGTTTTTTGGGTCTCAAGAGCAGAAATGCGTGCTTTGAGCGCATTAAAGGATGATTACCATAAATACAAGGATACACCTAAAACTGTACGTTGAAAAGTACCAAAAATCAAGTCAGCCCAGACAGAGCGGCGACAGGGAGCTGACCCTCGTGACCCCCACGTGTTAAGGCGCTCGGCTGGGAACCCCCCCGCTACAACTAAAATTACACTGCCGGTGTGCCGTGGAAGAAATTTCTATGGATGCAGGCAGCGATGAAGAAGAAGAAGAATCAGATAGTAGCCCTAGTTTATCAGACCAGGAGCCTTCTGATCAAGAAGATAGCGTTGCTGTTGATGAGGTACCTATTATCGCTGATCGAGGCTGAGGTAGACATACAACTAGAGGAGCCAGAGGTGTACAGAGAGCTGAGAGAGGTTCTTGTAGTAGAGGTAGAGCTCGGCGTGATGAGAGGTGGGCGTGGCACTGCCAATACCGTTAGAGATGTGGATGGCTGGAAAGAAATAACTAGAAATCTTGACAATGTGCCTGCATTCACAAGACACAAGTCAAATACTGTATGTATGTATGTATGTATGTATGTAGTATAGGGTTTTACGGCGCTCGCAACTGCTAAGGTCATATGAGCGCGCAAAACACAAGTTGTTTACTTTCGCAAAAGTTCACTCCACGACAGGTCAACTAATTGACTTTAAAATGCTAAAATGTAAAAATATTAAAATTTAGTGTAAATATATTTGTGATTTAAAACAAATCTTTTAAGTAGCAATAAAAATTTTAAATAGTACGTTTTCATTTTTCATTTTACAACTTGCCATAAAGGCCAATGGCCTTTATAAAATTCAAAATTCTGCTGGGAACAACGACGGAAAAAATATCCTGCAATTTTTTGCATCTATAATATTTCCTTCGGATCTCTCCAAAGTCTAGACATTCTGTTAAAATGTGTCTAATGGTAAAATCCGTGTCGCATCCGACACAGAATGGCTTCTCATCTCCCTATAGGAGGTATTTGTGGGTCAGGGCCGTGTGTCCGATGCGCAATCGAGTAAAAATGACTTTGTCTCTTCTGGAGAGGTCCGAGGGATTTCGCTGTTCTAGTTTGGGTCTTATTTCATATAGTTTATTATTTTTCTGGTTTTCCCAGTGGCTCTCCCACAGACTGGAGGTGTACTTTTTGACTTTATTTCTAAAGTCAGTCTGTGGGAGAGTGTTTGTCGTTGATCCCAGCAGAAGGGATGTAGCTTTCTTCGCCAGTTCGTCTACCTGCTCGTTTCCTCGGATGCCCACATGGCTGGGTATCCATGCGAACATGATGTTTTTTCCTGTTTCGGATAGTGTATGAATTTTCTGTTGTAGCCTAACTATTTTTGGGTGTAAGAGTGTGTAGTTTGTGAGTGAGGTGATGCAAGTCAGAGAGTCAGAAAGGATAAGGAAAGATTTGTTGGGAGAATTTTCTACAGAGTCCAGTGCCATGTCAATGGCAGTGGCCTCCGCAGTGAAAATTGAGGCTTCAGGATGGAGTCTCCTCTGGTGTGTATTGTAAATACTGCACCAAGTAGTCCGACAGATGTATTCGTTTTTTTCAAATACCTTCATTGATGATGCCATGTTCTTGGATTGGGCAAATGAAACGAACAGATACGCTGAACAAGTACGTGCTGTGAAACCAGGCTATTATCACCTCAAAGTCTGGAAACCAGCTACAGCCTCAGACATAAAAACCATTGTTGCCCTGATGTTTGAGATGGGTCTGGTAGACAAGTCAGATGTGAAATGCTACTGGTAGACAAACCCAATAATTGAGGCCCCATTTTTCTCAAAGGTAAGTAGGCCTATATCTACCCATATCTAGTTTGTACACCTAGATTTAATTTTTACTTTGATTTACATTTATAACTCTTTTCTAACTTTCTAGCCTATAATAATAAAAGATTAGATCTGGTTCTACTCATTCAGTAAATTGCTTGTAAAATGCTGTAATAGGATCCAGAAGTCTCACATTGACATTCCGTAATACTGTATATAAAGTGATAACATGACATAGGCTACCCCTTATAAACATACAAATGTTAGACTCTATTTATTATTGCTTTTTATTATAACTGATGTTTTGTTTTTCAGAAATACAAAAATTGGTAAGTGTAACATTTTCTATAACTGTGACTGATCACATTGTTAATTTTTTTTTTCATCAACAGACAATGGCCCGCAACCGCTTCCTTTCCCTTTTGGCATTCTTCCACCTTGTCGATAATGAAAGACAACCCTCACGAGGTCACCCAGACCATGGCAAACTAAACAAAATTCGCCACTTTTTTGACCACCTCAACAAACGCTTTGCTGATCTCTATTATCCAGAACAACAACTGGCCGTGGATGAGAGTATGATGCCATTTCGTGGTTGCATTGACTTCCGTCCCTATCTTCCATCCAAACCAATTCGCTAGGGAATGAAACTCTACTTCTGCTGTGAATCGTTGTCTGGTTATGTCCTCAAAATAAAATTCTATTCAGGGGCGAACACAACTGGACCAGAGCGAGGACACGAAGAACAGATTGTGCGTGACGTGATTGAACAATACCAGGATGTTGGTCATACTGTATATATGGACTCTTATTTTTCTACTCATCAACTCTTTTCCGACCTTCTGTCACTGCAGACAACAGCCTGTGGGACTGTAAGGCAGGACAGGAGAGGGCTCCCCAAACACATAACAAAGAAAGAACTGAGGCTACAGAAAGGTGATGTGGTTGAGCGTGATAAAGAAGATATTGTTGCTGTCAGGTACCAAGACAAAAGGGACATTATGCTCTTGTCCACCATTCATGATGGCAGGGTAGTGGACACTGGTAGAAGGGACAAAAGGACAGATGAACCCATCCACAAGCCTAATATTGTACACCAGTACAACAGATTTATGAAAGGCGTTGACCTTATCGATATGTATCTGTCATTTTATAGCTTCAATAGCAAAACTCTCAAAAGGTGGAAACGTGCGACCACACATCTGATCCACCTCGCCTGTATTCAGGCACACATCCTCTACAGAAAGTCAACGACATCGGACTCTCCCTTCAGCTTATGAGACTTTACGATGCACCTCGTTAGCGGTCTCCTTGCTGATGAGGCTTAAAAACAAACACAGCCCCCACCGCTGACTACAATCGAGCGTCTCAGTCACAAGAGCAATCTCCACTTCCCAGAACGTATTCCCACTACAGAAAAGAAGCTCTGGCCAACCTGACAATGTGTCTGTTGCAGCAGCAAGAAGGACAGTGGACGGAACAAAGAAACCAGATATCAACGCAAAGCCTGCAAAGTTACTCTCTGTATTGAGCCTTGTTTTGAATTCTATCATACAAATCAGGATTTGCGCGTCAGATTCGATGCTACTACCAAGCCGAATAGGCTAGGACCTTGTCCAAAAGTGAATTTTTTTTTCTTCATAGTTGTAATTCTTTTTTCTTTAGTGTTGTAATTTGTAATTCTGTGTTGTAATATGTTGGTGTGCATTATTCATTCCTGCTAGGAAATATGCGAGGCAATCTTCAGTGTCTTTCATCTCATCATTGGCATATATTTTTCTCTTCCATGGACATGGAATACAGTGATATTTATCTGGATTTACCTGGACTTACATGCCTTCTCTGAACCTTGGAGTATATAAAGTTGCCTGCTGCATCAATTGGTGAGTGAAAATCAAGTTTGAAGTCATTATATTGATGTCTTTTCTGATCTTGTTTCTGTATTTTCTTTGTTGTGCAAACAACATAACTGATTACACCTAAATGAACAAAACATTTTTTTGGTCAAAAACAGAGTGTGATAATATAGAGGAACATGTTTAGAACACGTAGATGACGTGTCAAGCCTATAGCTTTAAAAGGAGCTGAGTTATTCATATTTTAGTAACACATATGGCAAGTAGTTAGTTAGTGGGCGGCGGCTGCGGTCCTGGGGAAGAGAAAGCCAAGTGTAGGGACGGTCCCGTAGGTGTTAAATGGACATAGAAGGTGCTGAGCCAAAAAAAGGAAATTCAATAAAAAATTGCCCAATAGCCAGAAAAATGCCGTTTTCCTGGATTAGATCATATTGATGAGCGCCTGACTTCACCACGCTGCCTCACATATGTACATGCCTGCTCTGGCGAGTACACATTTTTATTGATGACGTTGATTATTTTTCAAACTTCACTTGCTGTTGTCAAAACTTTATTCTCTCTTGCTAGATTATATTTTTTTGTGTGGATTACAGTTTTTCTGCACCTTGGATGATGATAATTTAAACAGGAACCTTTTATCTTTCATTACCCCCCCCAAATGTAGCATGTATGCTATCTGCATTACGAGTCCTGTTTTTCATCATGTTTTGTTCCATCTTTAGCCTCTCTCTATGCAAAAACAGTCTATTCCTCAACTAATTCGCATTTGCATTTGGTTTCCTCATTCAATTCCCTTCAAGCTGGTAACTCAGCATGTGCATGGAATAGAACTGAAAAAACCCCTCCCCAACTTGTGCGCGAGGAGAATGTTACAGAAACTTATTTGGGCGATTGTTAAAAGATACTGACAATAATCTATCCACAAACAGCAGGACTATGTGCAGACAGCAGTGCTACCTGGCACTCAAAGCACACAGCAGAGGTTTTAAATGATAAATTATGGCATCCATAAAATCAAACACTAGGAAGACCTGGATTCTTGTCTGGGGTGTAGTTGTGTTCTTGCTGTCAACTGTCAGGTTCTGCCTGCTGTCGGGGTGGAGAGAGGGGCGGGCTGTCGGAGGAGGCAGCTTGTGGTGGCAGAGGCAGAGGCATGGAGATGCGTAGAGTGGACATGGGGTCAGACACGTAGCCTGCGGGGAGAATTGGGAGAAATCGAAATAATAATAATGGTAAATAGCATTTATGCTGTGCATTTCCATTTTCTCCAAGAAATGCTCAGGGTACATTACGTTCAAAGAGAAGTTGAATTTTAAAATTGATAGACAGGTGTGTACGTAGAACATAATATGTATGTATGTACATATGAATTTTAAAAAAATTTCAAGGAGAAAATTAGTCACACAATAGCCTGACAATCATAAACTGAAAAAAAGAAAAGAAAAACCATTGTGACTGAAGAGTCAGACCGAAATCTACGAAATGAGGAGGTGAAAAGTGAAATTGAAAGTAACATAAATTGAACGTACAGATAAAATACAAGTCAGTGACATCCACATTTGATAATTATTTGAAAATATTGATTAATTAATACATGGACAGAACAATATGTGAGATGTGCTGACAAAATGAGTTACTTCTTGACATCCACAAGTGGAGATATTAGCCGAAAATCGACATCAGAATCAAATTTTCAGATTTCCTATCAATGCCATATTCTTTAAGTATTACTAGTCTTTTATTACTTTTTACTTGTAAGTTGTAAAAACTTCACCTATAACCGTGATGTATCTATTTCCGTAAGGCTTGAATCCGAGAAGTAACTCATTTTGTCAGCACACTTCACATATGTTATGTATATCCAAACATTGAAACAGAAATAATAGAGAAGACAAAGTACACAAGAAATCTCCACAAAAGACTCAGTTATAGGTCAGTGAAACTATGCCTGCTCTGAATTTATTTTGTTTTAAAGAAAGAGAAGTTCATGGGCTTTATTAATTTGTACAGTGCAGGTAGTATGTAGTTTGATATAAATATAACTAATGTCCCTTTCACACAGTAACATTGTTAAACAGGCAGGACATCAGGTATTAATTTTCATTTCTTACACCACTGAGGCTGGTCAGTGGAGAGCCATAAGAACTTCCCAAACAAGGCAGGTTTAAGAATGCCCTGCAGGTATTTGAACCATGGTTAAATTGTATGAAATGGCATCAACGCAACTCCTAAACCACTGTAACGTTATATAAAGGACAAGTCAAGAGTCTTGAAATCTCCCCACATCACCCCAGATCAAAACTGTCCTGTTGATGATTTAAGCGAGGGAGTCTCTCCTGTACTGTAGATTCAAATTACAAGAGCAAGGCTCCTGGAAGGCATAGTGAGAGAGATAAAAAATAGAGGTGTTTCAAGAAAGTAGCAAACACAAAAAAGAAAAAGGGGAGAAAAAGACGACAGATGTTTGATAGGAAAGAAGAAGCAGACCACACCAGAGTACCCGCCAACCACCCACTCACTTGCACTGAAAGGGCTACATGGTTACAAAACAGAGGACACATTGAGAGCTGTGACTGACTATTGATTCTTTCCTCTTACCATTCTTGTCTAGTTGGGGAAATGGATATCTTTTCTTGTCTTCACTTGACCCAGATACACTGTTAAAAAAACCCACAAAAATAAATGATATAGCCAAAACATGAAATGGATTTTTTTAAAAAGGCTATAGACATTGGAAAGCAAATAGGGAAAAGACAAAACATCATCACAATGTTACAAAATGGCACATCTTATTTTTGCTACTTTTGAGATAAATGGAAAAAAAACAACTTTAGTTAACTGGAAAAGTTATCACCTAATAATGGTAAAACTTGACACACATATTTCTTTCGTGACTGCCAGCACATTTTTGTTCAGATTTTGGTTTTGTTTAGATAGTACCATCTGTTGGATTGAGGACACCCCAGAAAGGCAAAGGTCCTAAGGAGAGATGCACAAAGAAAGTAGCAGCTCACAATAGAAGGAAATGCACTAGGAGACGTTAAATCCTTCTGCTATCTTGGGAGTATAGTTGGCAGAGAGGGAGGAACAGGTGCTGAAATAAAGTTCCGCACTGGAAAAGTACAGGCTGCTTTCATATCCTTGAATAGGATTTGGAAGACCAGAGATATCTCACTTCAAACAAAGTTGAGCGTTTTCAATTCAAATGTGGTCAGTCCTGATATATGGATGTGAGACATGGAACGCATCACAGACTTGCATAAAAAGGATCCAGGTTTTCATGAACAAGTGTCTAAGAAAGTTACTGAGGATCAGATGGACAGACAGGGTCACCAACGAAAAAGTGTTAGGGAAAACAAGACAGATCCCAGTCAGAGATGAGGTAGGAAAAAGGCAGTAGCGATGGATTGGACATACTCTCAGGAAGTCAGGCAGCTACATAACAAAGAAAGTGTTGGGTTGGAATCGACATGGTAAAAGATCAAGGGGAAGACTGCATGAACCTGGAGAACAATCACAGAAATTGATGTACAGAATATTGGGAAGACATGGAATAATTTCAAGAGGCTAGCACAGGATAGAGAAAGGAGGAAAGTGTTTGTCCGTGGCCTATACCCTGGTGCAGGGCGAGAAAGGCAATGATGATGATGAGATACAGTACCATCAAACAAAAAACAAAAGGCTAGTTGAATATTTTCACAGCTCTTGAGTTATGCCATTCTGCAAGCGTAGTGACGACATACTCTACCAGTGGTACCGTGACACCATCCTAGCTTGATATTGCATTCATACAGACAAGTACATATTCAAACAATCCCGGACACATTCACGTGTACATACCTTTATATATACACATCTATTGGCTCAGCATATGGTCTAGCTAAAAATAGCTGTCCCTGTCGGATTATGCGATTGTGTGGCCGCGTTTTTTTCCCGTAATTCTGCAACATTTGCATAATTTTGGATTTCCCGTGTTTTTACCTTTTTCTCTTTTTTCACAAAACAATTATTAATGAACGCCTCGCCATGTGACTAAAGGGTAGTAATCATCGTAGTAAGTCTCACTTACGTGACAAGTTGGTCATTTCCCTTGTTAGAAGACCTTGGTTCATGGTTATGGGTTTGGGATTTTGTTCCTTGAGCATGTTCAATTTTTCAACACATCAAAAGTTGTTCTCATGTCTGCTGATGTTTCATGTTTGCCAGGTGTCCCTGGTTTTAGTGATGTGCCAGCACCAGAGGTCCAGATGTCCTTTTTAAAAAATTTTTTTTTTAAAACTTTTTTTCTTTCCTCTATAGATCTAGATCTACAGCTGAAAGTTACAGACATTATATTCTTTGGTTGTTGTTTTTTTTTCTGACTGACGTGTATTGTTTTCTTTCCAAATACACAACTAATTACTGATACTGATATGTTCTGTTTTCAATTTTTCTGTACATACAACATGAAAATTCTTGGTGAAAAAGTGCAAAACATGTCACGAACAGTGTTACGGTAACTTGCATAATTTTTGCATAATTTGGCTTTTTTGTGTGCATAATTTGGCCATCTAAATTTGCATAATTCTGCCGGGACAGAAATAGACAAATCCCAACCATAAAGATTTAAAAGGGCCTACTCATTTAAGAAAAAAACCAGTTGCTTTCCCCCAGCACAATATGATCATCAGGTGTCCACATATCATTGTCTCTCCTAGACCCACCCAAATCCCTGACTCATCGAAAACATGCTTGACAATAGCCTGAACCGACCATGACCCCCTTCCTTCACCTGTTCCTGGAAGCTTCCATCTCCCAGTGGTTCCTCATAGCAGACACATGACCAGCCATCGGGGGCGTGTCTCTCCCCTCCCCGTCCGAGTCCTGATTGGTGACCATGGGCAGGGAGAGGGGCAGTGAGGGGTTGCTCGAGGGCTCCACGTTGCTCAGCATGGCCACGGCCTGCGACTGCTTGCACTCATCGATGATGGGGATAATCTCCCGGAACTCTGGCCTCTCCTAGAAATGTATCGTCACAGTCTTAATAACTTAATAGACGGCTTGCATAGAAGCATCAACACAAGAAATTTATAATGTCACAGTTTTAGGATTAGGCAATGCGTGGATATATCAGACTTATGGCAATCAAAAACTACCAAAAGTTGGGGACATATTAAATTTTTGGCAAAGAGAAATTGTTAAACACTAGGGGCTGTATCAGGCCTATTGAAAGAAAAAACAATTCTGTACAATTCCTGAGTGAGACTGGTGAGTGTTATTGTGGCATCGTTAGTCCAGCCATTCTGTTGTTCCATTTTTACTTTTTCATGTCTCTTCTTTTGTTTCAGCTATGTTATTTTGTTTTTTCTCTCACACTATGCCTTCCACAGACTCATAATTGTGAGGTTACGGGTTCTGGGGTTCATGTCACTAAGACTTATCTCCGTTTCCACCAGAAATCCACAAACAAAACTTCAGTCAATGTCAATTTCTGGGGACTTTCCACACAATGCATAATGATCTTGAAAAAAAAAAAGAAAGTTCTTTTCTGTTTTATTAAATGTAAAGACACTGAGTGACAGAAAATATTTCTTTAAAAGAGGCCTGGATTCTAAAAAAAAAAAAAGAAATGCAAAGTAGGGGGTGGCCTTTCGGAAAAAAACTTTGTGGAGAATAGCTTACGTCTGGGTTAGCATGCCATCCTATATGCAGCAATGCAACCAGTGGCTTGGGGAACGTGATAGCGATAGGGGGTCTGGTGTTGTGGTAGGCTGTCTCGGCAGCCGCGGCAGCTGAGAACACGTATGACAGGGAACAAGTAAGAAAAAGTGGCAAGCCTGCAGTGTCAATTGCGTAAGAATGGTGTGTATTTAAGAAATATTTTGTAAATCAAAGCATGCAGCACATTACACAACATCACATCAAATAGAACTAGAACACCACCATACACTGTCATGAAAACTTTGTTGCTGGTTCCCTCAGTGCACTGCCCTGTTTTCAAGCTAAGGTCATCATTCTTGCTCTAGAACACATTCCTATTATTAACAATGTAAAACTTGGCTTTCTGATCATGCATGACTTTGTTCGTGAGCAAAAAATCTCCAACCAAATACAACAGTATCCCCTCTAATGCCCCCCTTAAAAAAAAAGAACCCAATAAAACTTCAAAAGTAGTACAGAAAAAGAAAAGCCGGACAGACCTGGCTTGAGGTGTGAAAAGGGCAGCTCGCCAGCCAGTAGTTCCCAGAGGACCAGTGAGAAACTGAACATGTCCGCCTTAACGCTGTACTTGGTACACTGGGTGAAGATCTCGGGGGCCATCCAGCGCAGGTTCTGAGGAGCGCAAATTGTATGGAACCATACAACTCAGTGTTTACCGACTGCATAATAATATTAATGAATAATAAATAGCATTTGCTTAGCGCACACCCCTGCTCAACAGCAAGCCCTATGCGCTTTACACTATATTATTACCCCAGCAGACCACCTAACACTCAGAAACATTCTCCGCTTCCCATGAAGCATACAGTGCAAGCAGCTGATTAAGTGCTCAAACACTAACAAACAGACAAGATCTTTCGCCGTCTATAGCATCCAACCGAAAATTTCCCAGAGTTTGAGAGCAAACCAAAGCTGTCAATACTCCTTTACAATCCTCTCCCTCACATTTATTGTACTGTTACCTTTAGTTTTAGTAAGAGTTTTACTGCACTTGCCATACAAACAGGTCATTTTAGTGCCCAAGATTAGAGGAAAGGAAGTAAAAGAAATAACATACATTAAAAAAAAAAAAGGAGGAGAGATAACAAAGAAAGATGTTTGATAGGAGCAAACCACACCAGAGCACCCGCCAACCACCCACGCCTGGTTATCTGTCTTTAACTAGATAACATGGATAAAGAAGCATTCTTTGTGGTGATTTTAGTCCTAGACAGTTATTACGGAATGCATGAGACAAGGCAATACCAAGCCAGAATGCCAACATTTGTGTTACAGTGGCATACACATATATATATCAAATAAAGTCGAACCTGTGCAAGATGACCACCCACTGTTTCTTTTTTTTTGTTGCTTTGGTAACTGTCTTACAGGGCTCACAACTGTTCAGGAAAGAAGTGGTCATCTTAAGCAGCACTCCTCTTGGACAGGGTCATTATAATAGTGAAAAAATGACAGAGGGGAAAGTGAGAAGTAGTCGTTAGTTCAGGTGATTGTCTTGGACAGGGGATTATGAGAGCACCTTCAGCTGTATATCCCAAATTGCAGCATAATACATAATATCAAATAAGATGTATGCAGGAGAGGTGTCTCAACATAACAACACAAGGTAGTTACATAAAACAATTGGAAAAAAAGGAGAAATACTTTTTTTTTGGTTTTAACTCACTTACTACTGGGCCCTTTCACCAGTCACAAGCGTTGAAGACTGGCGTTTTTGGGAGTATTTCAATAAAACACCACTCTCAAAATTACCCTATTGTAATTATTTTTTGACACAGTAAAGTAACATTCAAGCTTAATGTAATACAAAAAACTAAAGTTGTGTAAGTCTTATACTTTAATTTGTATGATTTTTAAAAAATTGGCATGAATTTGATTTTCCGAAAAAATTTCCAGAGACGTGACAAGCAGAATGAAATTCACAACAACAACAAAAATAAAAGTTGAAAGTGTTCTGGTTTGATTTGTATGCATGTGTGAGTGTTTGGTGAAAATATAAAAGCAGGTCTGTGCGTTGATTCAGACCCATACACTGTTCAATTACATGAGACAGATGTACGGCACGACGTTGTGATTTCGTTGCGCGAACAGCACCAGTACTAGTGCTAGATCTAGCTCTAGAACTACGACTCGGACCGTGTTCGGGTACATATCCAGGATTTTAACTATCAGACACGTCATATTCTGAGACACAAGAACTAGTGAAACGTACAGAAGTATCGAAAACGGCGAAATTATGTGATTCTTGTTCACGTGACTTCTTCGACCGTTACTACGATGCGACTGTCGGATCACTATCAGCTGTATAGAAAAAAACAAAGCGCGAGTTCCGGTCTGTTCAACCCCAGTTGGGGTCACTGTCCTTCACCTTCAATAACTTAAAAACTACGGGCCCCAGAGATACGAAACGAAGTCTGGCCAAACAAGGGTACGAGGCAGGTCATGCGATCCATGCGTGATTTGTAGAGCGAAAAAATAATTTCAAAGTTGGTCACGCAGGGCTTGTGGGAACCGTCGCGAGCGTCGCGGCGGGGGTCACGCATCTGTTGTGTGACCCGTCTGAAGTGAGTTAAAGCTTATAACGGAACATTTCATACTTGAATATTTATAATCAAACATGGTCCAGAAAATAAAACTCACCCCTGGCTGTTTTGTCATATTGTCCTCATCTGTAGATCTCAAAAACCGCGACTCTGGTGGCAAGAAAATGACAGCTAATGAGCCAAAAAAAGCAAATGTTTAAAATAGAACAGGATGACTGATCTTGAAGCTAACTAAAATCTCAAGCACAGCGACAGGCGGGGATCCCCCCCCCCCCCCCCACAAAAAACAACAAAACAAACCAAACAGCGACCCCAAAAGACCCATAATTATGCTACTAGTCAAACAAAGCAATCATTTCAAACAGATATATATGTGTCTATGACAGAGAACTTCCCTATGCCCAAAGACTGAAAACAAAAACAAAGGTCAGTCAAGTCTGCATCAGAAAACTATCTGCTTTAGCGGAGGATGCCGCAGCTGTGATCAACTCAGAGGATGAACTGTTAAAAAACATGATGTAAGCTTTCTACCAAGGAGAAGGAACAGAACAAACAGAAATCAATATTGGAAATAAAAAGCTAGAATGCATAGATAATTTCTCACACATATGCTTCATTAACAACAACAAACAGGCACTTGATCATTTGCTATGCATCAAACTTGGTAAAGCTTCCCGTACATTGGAGCAAACTTTAACAGACAGTTAAATTTAATGAGAATCAGGACATCAAAACCAAGATGGATGCGTACAAAGCACACATTCACAGTAAACTACTGTATTCATATGTCGCCTGGAAGGCTTAATATTAAAGGAACAAGAGAAGCAGTCTGGATTTTCAGAAGTTTCTGGAAAAGAGGAATTCCAAAAGACAAACTCACCTCCAAAGTCGGCAACGATAGCGTGGCCAGTCTCCTCGAGCAGAATGTTGTGACTGTTGAGATCTCGGTGGATGATGGGCAGTGGCATGTTGTGCAGGTATTCCATACCTTTGGCCACATCCAGAGCAATGGTCAGCTTAGAATGGATGTCAATCAGCCTGAGAGAAAACAGACAAGTGTGCAGAGGTAAAGGAAAAAAATAAGCTTTATCTTTAAAACAAGGACTTTTACCTTCAAACCTCTCAGAGAATTGTCACCTTTCCATCAGAATCTTTCCAAGTACACAGTTTTCAATCAGTCATGAGAATTAAATGATGAAAGAAAGAAACATTACAGTCCAACTCTTCAGCTCAAAACTAAAGCCAGCAAATTTGTTTGTTTGTTTGAATAAAGACAAGCACATTGACACAATAACGGTAAAAAAAAAAGCTGAGAAAAAGCAAGAGACAGAAGACAACAGTTACAAAGGAGAACAAGCGGGACAATACTTCATGGGAAATAGATGCTGCAGTGGTAAACTCAGTATAAAATCATCTTTGAACAAAAATTGAAAGCATCAAGGTGAAATTAGGCGCTCTTCAAAATAATGAAATCAAAGAAATTAACATTTTTCAGCCCATTTGGCAATTTTTATCGATTTTTTGGTTCACTTAAAAACACATTCGAGCATGGATTTTACTCAAAAACATACGTCAAATACACAAATATGATGTAGATTTGTATTTTTAAGGACACTCCAGCTTTGAAAGTCACCAAACTTTGGCAGCCATTTTCTCGTTAATTTTACCAAAATCTGTCATGCTGTGGAGGGAAAAAAGAAAGACTACACATAACTGACTAAGAAAAAGTAATGAAGTAGGCTCACCCACCCACGGCTTTTACTCAGAATCCAAGATATTTGCAAAATGGACACACTCTTGAAGCAGATAAAACTTTAAAACTACAGAATTAATGGCTTAAAAAGAAGCAGATAAAACTTTAAAACTACAGAATTAATGGCTTAAAAAGATTGCAGGCAACGAAAGAGACTATTAACTATCTATATTAAAAAAAAGAAGTTCCACTTCTTGGTGCTACATCCCAAACTTGTAGTAAGATCAGGACAATTATGACTGTTGTACAAAACAATAAAAATCCCCCCAAAAACAACAGAATATTATAATGGCTGTCAGGTGGAACTATTTCGTGACTACAAACAATAGTAGTGGTTGTGCTATAAGATAAGCCTTTATTGTCCAGATCCTGGCTCATTGTTTTGGTGTTTCTCTCTCTCACTATTACTGACACCAGGTGACCCCCACCTCCTTCAATAGAAAATACCTTGACTTCTACTCAAGATAGATGGATATTTTTTCACCAAAAGCAAGACAAATAAAAAGGCTTTAGATTATACTATACCAATAACTTAATATGAAAAAAATTAACGTGCCCCTGATTCCACCACGATGCAACACAAATGTGTCAGAAGAGCACAGTTTCTGAAACCCCCCTCCCTTAAAAATCTGGAATAGATTCGATCATTTCAAAGCATGCTAGAAGTTTCATGGGCTCACCTGTTCTGCTCATGCAACAGGCTAAAGAGGGATCCACCAGCCACGTAGTGGGTTACAATTGCAAATTGCTGAGGTCATGCCGAAAAAACAAAACAAAACCGAAATTAGCTTGTTCCATCACATCAGAACAGGAACACAAAACAGCACATATATGGACAAAAAACTCTCAAAGGGTAAAATAAATAAAGAAAAAAGAAAAACAACTGGTTTTCAAGTATTAAATAGCCCTGAATTTCTGGCTATCTCAACAGAATACAAGGGCAGATTCACGGTGAAACAATGGGTTTGAGATAAAAGATTTTCAGATTCTCCAGTGGCAAGCTCAGGCTGGCATCAGTCATTTAATCCGAGCCTTCTGCTTAGCTTAGTTTAAACAGGACTTTAGCTGGAGCATTTGAGGTACCATCTGAGTAGTTAAGAACATAGAGACAGCACACGGCAGGAATCATAGTTTTTTTCAACAATGATCCACTTCTTCTAAAAAATATTGATTTATAACCCTCCCCCCCCAAAAAAAAACAACAAAAAACAAAAACCCAGCCTGTCTCGCATGCTTTTTTGTTTACGCTATAACCGCTGAAACAAAAAGAGAACACTATTCATTAAAAAAAAGGGTATTAAATGACTATGAACCTAATCAAATTGATCTATTTTTGATTGGAAACTCAAACTGATTTTTTTCCAAATTCTTACACATAGTGGTTGACAAAATCTGCATAAGTTAAAGTGTAAAAAATCAAGTATACAGGAATACAGGACACAGGAATCCACTCACGCTGGGGTCGTCCAGACAGGCTCCCACAAAGTTGATCACATAAGGGCTGTTCAGCTTGGCTAGTATGGCCACCTCTCGACAGAACATATCCACATCAGATTTAGCACCAAAAGAACTAGCTCGATACCTGAATCAAGAAACAAATCGTGACTTACAATAAGAGAAAATAAATTTCGAAAAAAAAAGGTAGCTACATATAACAAATGATAAAGAAATCCTGACAACCACATGTCGTACAATAATTCTTAACGTTGTTCAAAATAAACAGACCATATTCTACTTTTATTTCCTTGGTCACAAAATATTTCAAAGTGTGACTTGATCGCCAGTGGGAAGGAAGAATTTCAAAGTATAATTTACCTTAAAACCATTGGACATTAAGGCGGTTCAACAGCAAGATCACAGTTGTACACGCAAGTCACATAAGTTGTAATAACCGAAATTCCTTTAGTAAAAATGACAACACATTATCATCAATGGCACCACATTTCCTTCCCTGACTGCATCTATCCAGGAACTGATGGGCCCGAAAGTTGACAGTGCTGTTTAAATAAATGTGAAGAGAATTTCATTTCCCAACCTACTCCTTCCCTCGCCCACACAACGCAAACTGTATTCTATTGGACTTTGTATCATTATATAAAGATTATGGTGGATTTCACGGAAAGGGTGTGAGAGACAGCATGGGGTTTATTTTTTAAATAAAATTCTTTTGTTGTACTGTTTGTAGTTCAATTTGTATTGTTTTGTTTGTTTACGAGCCCAATAAACACGAGACTAAAAAACAAGAGTTGACTTTGGTTTATTTTGTTTGATATTTTGCGTAACAGTGTCACCGACGTAAGGATTTTGACTTAATGTATTTCCCGATGTTCGCGAGTCTGACAATTTTTGGTTTAAATGGCTAGACTTTCTCCAAAAAAGGCAAGAAATGTTTTTCTAATGTGATAAGAAAAAAAATAAATCTAGCCTTGGTTTGAAATGGTAACGGACAGAGTGAAATGGTGGTAGAAAATCGCGCGAGTAAGCCCGACATTTTGACCCGACGTCAAGAGCCAAATTTACTTCCAAAAGCGAAATGAAAGTAAGTTTTTAAGTTCAGACTAAGATACTCATTTCTACATCAGTCTTACCCGTAATTTGCAAAAATTGAAGAAATCAGTAGTAGATTTGAGAGTTGTTAGTGATGCACCCCTCCCGCTGAGTCTCCGACATCTTACAGTCCAACTCGGCATTTTTTGGAGATTTACGAAAAATCTCGAGGACTTTCCCAAAAAAACGAGGCTAAAAACTACTTCCGTTTGGCACTATTCTTTCATTCTTTAGCGTCCTTTTCGATGAGGTGGATGTTTTGTCTTATTTTCCAAGTTTTTTCAATACTAAGTCTCTTACGTACGAAGCACACCAATGTCGCAATCTATTACAAATTCAACCCAATTACACACGTTTATTTGTCATATCTTTTATGTTTACATTGATTGAAAGACTGCAACACAACATGTAACACGTGTGGGAAGTAAACAAATGACGTTAGGGAAAAAAATAGCAAATTCTTTTCTGAATGTCTTGTTTGATGCCAATGAATGCTTTGAGTCGTCAAGATTGGTGCCGATGACGATTTCGGTGCCGATGATGATTTCGTGGTCTTATAGGCTGTTCTGACACTGGGAACATTTTTTCAATTGATCTCTTTTTCTTTTTTTTTCCTTTTTAAAAATTCGTTATTTCCTTTTCTATTGTTTATTTTTATTCTTATTATTTTCATTTATTGTGTGCATATTGATTTTTGCGGCCAGTGAATTCGATAAAATGGATTATTAATCCAAATTTGGTGATATTCAATTATTGTGTTGTTTGCACCAAGGTAAGGTTATACTTCATTAAATAACTTTTTTCACAAGCCTTTGCTGTCCCTCTAACATTTCAAAATTCCTCTTTAAAAGGCCTTTCCAATTATATAAAATACATAACCCTTTGAAAAAGTTCAAATTCCTGAAAAAATCTGGGGAAGTGAGAAACCTGTGGGTCCTCACCGTGAAATCGGCCTTATGTACACTGCCAGTTTTTTTATAAGCTATTATTATCCCCTCATTTGGTGCCTTTCTGAAAAATCGGAAACTTCTATCCTTTACCATGAATATGCGGAGGTATCATCTCAGGCTAAGAGGTTGACGTGTAATGACCCACAACTGTTTACAGTCACTAACTGCTCTCGAGCATTTTGTCATATTTTGCTCAGTTCATACCTTGATATTGTCAATCCATACATTGACCACCCTTAGCACTTGAGCCCCACCTCTTGCCTTCCAGTATTCCCTTCAATCTTGTACCCAACCTCTAATATTTCCCTACCCCACTTCACCTTTTGATGGCCACAGTCCGACCTTTGACCTTGCCCTTGTAGACTTTGCCGAAGGAGCCAGAACCGATGGTTTCCTGGAACTCCAAGTCTGTGATCTGCAGGTGGAACTGGTGGGACAGAGTGGCCCGCAACTGAAGGACATCAATCTTTTCTGTGGGGGCATAACAGGTACACGGTGGTCAAATATCTAAATCCCATAACCTTATATTTTTCACTACTTGGTAGCTATCAACATATTGAGAGCTTGAAATTTAATCATACAGACTATATATATACTGGCGAGCAAAAGAAAGTGGGCAGTTTTCAAATTGGTGCTATATGAGTAGTCTCGCGAATTTTGACTTGGCGATTGACATGCTGAGCTTGTGTCACTTTAGAAAGTCGGTCAGAACAACATTTGTTTATTTTGTTGTAATAAATAGTGTTTACTACACGTCTGGCTAAAAACTTGTTTTCTCGTTTTTTCTTGAAAGTTTACAATGCCTTTACTTTTATTCTTTTTTCGTTTCACACTTCAACGTGTGTCGGCGAAAAGGCCGTCAAAACTTTTGGGTTTGTTCTTTTCAATTTTGTTTTATACGATGCCTCGTCTTTGTGAAGCGCAACGTCATGAAGCTCTTGGCACGCTGAGAGCTCATGCGGCGGTTTCTGCTGTAGCTAGAGCTTTCAATGTGAAGAGAGATACTATCCAGAAGCTAAGGATACACTTCCAAGCAAGTGGTTCGGTTAGTGACATTCCAAAGTCTGGTCGTCCTCGTGTCTCTACTGTGGTAGAAGACAATCGGATCAGAGTTCCAGACTTGCAGGATTGGTTTCAAACAGCTTCTAAAATTGTCAGAGATTGGGCTGGGCATAAACCAATCAGCCGCTTCACCGTTTGTCGACGTTTGAAAGCCCACTGAATCATTGCCCGACACCCAGCTCGACGCACTCGTCTCCTCCAAAGACACCGTCATGCCAGACTCAACTTGACACGTCTGCATCGGCGATGGCTAAACCGCCAGTGGAACAGAGTGATGTTTTCTGACGAGTCCAGATTTCTTTTGGATCACCACGATGGAAGGCAGAAAGTCTGCCGGAGACGTCATGAACGTTATTTACCTCAGTGTGTCAGTGCTGTTGCTGACAAACGTAGCATCATGGTATGGGAATCCATAAAGCACCTCTGGAACAAGATGGAAAAGAAAATTCGCACACTTTGGCCACCCCCAATGACAATCCCACAACTGCAGCAATCACTAATTGATGCTTGGAATAATATTCCCCAGCAATTTATCCAACGATGTATGCAATCCGTGAAGCAGAGATGCACTGTTGTCATCAATGCTGGTGGGAGATACACCTGTTACTAATTCTGGGATTTTGAACATTCGAATAGGTATTATTAATTTCTAATAAAAGGTGTGCTTTTGATCGTTTTTCTTAGTCTTTTTGTCTGCACTTATTGAGAAAATGGCAAGCCTTTCAAAATCCATTGGCAATACGGCATTACAACGGCAAAGAAGGGAAATAATGCACAGAACGGAGGGTGCCCACTTTCTTTTGCTCGTCAGTATACTATGGCTTGGTCAATGGAGTTTTACTTGTTAAACTTAGTTTGCAATAATGGCTTGTGTACACGCAAATACAATTATCCCGATATCCAACACAGAGTCCATATGACAGACTATTTTTTATCTGAATACACCTTTCAAAAAGAGGATTGGTATCGAGTGGAATACCGGCATGGCCAATAAAAAAACGCAAAAAAAAAATCTCCTTTACATATGAAATAGAGAATGGAAAGAGGACAAAAGATGGCTCTACAAAAGTTTAAGTAAAAAGAAGCACATTGACAGAAAAGCAGCCATGCAGTGTATGAAAAAAGAAAGACTTTATCACAGAAATGACAAAGAAAGAGTCAAGAAATAGGCCCATCCACTGAAGCCCCCCTTGATGGCTTTTACTCAGATAACAGATATCTGCAAAATGAACATGGTCTCAAAGCGGATAAAACTTCTCAATATTATGCCTGTCAAGAAGAATTAATTCATCGTTACAAACAATAGTAGCGTTTGTGCTATAAGATAAACCTTTATTGTCAAAATCCTGGAACATTGGCTCGCTGTTTGTCTCTCCCTCTCTCTCTCCCCCACGTACACACACACAATATCTTTTGCCATTAGTTCTGTAGGTTTTGAAACTGATCTGTTTGGAGATCATGCACATTTTGTAGATATCTTGGTATCCAAGTACGTAATGGGGTACATTTTATAGCGTTAGTTGTAGAACAGAGTGGTAACCTCCACAGCAGAAAGACAAAGCTTCTGATATGATGACAACATGTTCAGCATGCAGCGTGAAATTCTACATGGCTGAAACAAAAGGAAAATCATCACCTCAAATGGGTAGGAATGACCATAAAAATGCTTTTGCAAAACAACAATCCTTCACACCCAACCTTTTGTCATGCTGCGCAGTTTGCCGAGAGGGGAGGGCACCGCCACGTAGGAACCATCGAGACTGCCAGGCTGGGAGTAGTCCCCACAGCCTTCCTCACTGGGTCGCTTGTAGTGTTTGAGCAACGTCACGATGGAGTCGTGGCCTGGAGAAGAGGAGAAATTTTGGAAGACTGATTTATTGCTTACAGATTTATTGATAACGTTTTATGGACTTATCCACACATTCATCTTCCAACTGCATTGGTAAAATAGGAAGACAACAGCTGATAAGAGCTGTGAAAAAGAAACAAACAGTGATCACAAGAAACAAAAATTGAGCTACTTTTAAAAACACGATTCTTCAACCCAAACATGTCAAATAGATGTAAAACATTCAGTTCCAGTGAGTTGACAGATGCATATATTTCTTTAAGTACTCTACCCAAAAGAAAGTTTGTTTGTCTGTCTGTTGAAGAAAAGAGAAGCACATTGGCACAATAACTGTCATTTAATGCAGGGAAAAAGTAAAGATAGACTGATAGAAACAACCAGAGTGGAAGAAAAGGAACCTGGTCTACAACCACCAGCTCGCATTAATAAGGAAAAAAACAAATTCAAATTCAATATCTTAACCCCTTGACAGCGCACCATATATTTACCCCATATGTGCTAAAGAGAAATTCCACTGTGCCCAAGATGTCCATGGTCACAATGTTTGTTTTAGTATGTGTTTTCCGGCACTTGCAACACATTAAGGTCATATAAGAGCAGAATTTTTGACAATTCATAAAAAATTGAAATGAAATGCTATTTCTTTGAAACTTTCTGTGCTAATTAATAAGATATGGGTAAAACAGACACAATAAACACATTCTGTGAAGAATGAATAACAAAAAAAGGTATGGGACAGAAAGTTGGGACAAATTTGTCAAAGGAAAAAAAAATTGGGGAAAAAAAGGAAATGATGTGACAAAGCAGAAATCTTATAAACTTACACAAAATGGTTGTGGCAGTGTGTTTTTGTGCGTAGGAGAATGAAGTAAGAGCGTGTAAAGTGAAGTAGCATAAAAATGTAAGTGATAATTAATTTTGAAAAATAAAAAAAATATAGATCTAGATCTAAAAAAATCGTCGGTGACAGACTGAGAAGCATTTTCATTGTCAGTGCTGCTAGTGCTAGGACTAGATCTGTCTTTAGATGTTCCAGGTCTGGTACATTTATATCTTCTCCACTTTGAGGGCTGATTTGTACTAGTACTGGGGCTAGATCTATTATCATCCCCAGCCGGACCAGGCTGCGTACTCGCTGACGAGTCAGATTCACGATCGAGAGACGATGTTGGTCTACACTTAGATCTAGGTCTAATGTCATTTTCTCAGTCATCTTCATCACTGCGAGGTGAATTTGTATTTTGATTTATGAAGTTATCTATCTGATACTTCGCTGTCACTTAAAACTTCACCAAAATTATCAAGAGTTTCAACAAACTTCGAGACACCTCGCAATGCCATGCTTCGCTTACGAGAAACTGCGCGAAAGTTCCTTACTCTTACTCTTAGTTGTTCAGTCCGTTGGACAAATAACTCCTTTATTCGCACTAAAAGTGGTGAATATACACAAACCACAAAGAGCTAGCTTGTCCATATCCTGTTTAAACAACTGGGGCTATTTGCAAGCATTTTAAAACTGCTGGGTTTACATTACAGCCAACTAGCTGGGCACCCCGTTCGATGAATGGAATCAATCGTCAGGTCATTGTGGGTTCAGTGCACACTGCATGTGAACGGAAGTCTTAATTTTATAATATCATGAAAAACAAAATATGTCTTGAACACGGCATAGAAATGATGAACGGGAAAATCGTAAACGGCCGATAGCGTTTTCTATTTTTCTAAATTTTTTAGGCAAATGCAAGCACTTACTGAATTGATAGAAACTTAGCTTGGTCTTTGAATTAGATCTACCTTCAGTAATATTTTTATGTTTCTACGTTGCGCAGTTTTTTCAGCTACAGAAAACAACCATCCACGTGTACGCAATTATAGATTACAGTTGAACCTGCGTATGCTGCGGTCGCGGTCCGTGACTTTTACCGAACCGCATATTGTGCGGGAGGGGTGCTCGGTGAGTAAATCAACATTTGTTTGCATATTATAAGAGACAGGTAAAATTATGTATCAATAAAAAGAGAGATAACTTCATCTTTTGACAAGACCTGCGTGGAAAAAGCCATAAAGATGTAAACAACTTAAAAGAACTGAGGATGAATGGGCACTCTGATTCAATGCGTTGGTTCTGTCTCACACTATGAAAGACAACACACTTTGCTTTGTTTTTATCAGTTAAATAGCCAATGCTTCCCATCAAATATATATATAAGGTCTCACAGAGATAGAATGTTAAGTTTTTAAGGAATGTCATAGCTAAAACAGCAAGCTCTTAAGGGATGCCAATCTCTTTACTCAAAACCTGGTAAAAGTTGAGATATCAATGAAACAAAACACTTGTCTTTCACATCATATGAGATATATTTACAGTGCACTTGGTGACGAATTATTGAGATGTATGAAATAGATCTACAGTACAGTAAAGGGACGAATAAAAAAAAAAGAAGTTGCTAGATTTTCCAGATCCTGATTTGTCTGAGCAAATACAAGCACACATACTTACACATGTTCACTAAGAGTTAAAAGAAAACAAGATTGAAAAACAGAAACTACAAAAAAAGACCAAAGTAGGACACAGCGTCACATTTTGCCCAATATCAGCTATCTTAGTTACGAGCTCGGCATGGCTTTGTTTGAGGGTGATATTTTCTTTGTGTATGGAATTGACATTTGTCAAGATATCAATGATACTCATTCAAAATACATTTGTCACAAGTGTTGGTTGCTATCGAAATGGTAAAAAAGAGGCATAGCTTAAACGCTATGAAAGCTGCATGAAAAAAGCTCTGCGAGAGTCAGCACATACGGCGCTCTTTTGCCTCAAGTGTTGGAGCTGATCAGAGCAAGTTGTGCCAACACAGGGTTGTTTCGTCAAGAGGCTGTGTAAACCGCCATGTTTTTTCCTTCACACAGCCCGACAACTATCACTGAAGACTCCGCTACTACCTCTGCCAAAGCCACTCTTGATCCAATCAATACATATCCACTAAAGCCACATGGAGAGACCACAGTCTCTCTTAAATCAAGTGGTAAAAATCCCGCACAATAGTTCAGGTATCACCTCATTGTTGAAGATAATATATTTCAATTGTCTGTGTAATGTGCGAGCTGGATTGGAAGCAGATGAAAGAGATAGTGTGACATTTTTATTCATTATCGGATTATTTTTCCTGCTCCGTTGACCCCATCTGGTGAGTACATTTTTTCATGAGTTCTCTTTCACTGAGCAAAAAATCAGCCTCATCTGAAATTCACATTTTACAATAGATGACATTTTAAATGTCGATTACGTCATACACAGCCACAGGATTTCTCCTGTCTTCCAGGCTTAGTTGTGTAAAAAAACTACTACTGCTATCAACTGCAAATCTTCGAGGCATAAACATATAAAGTTAAATCGTTCCGTACAGTGAGGACGGAGTTCCTAGATTTTACTGTTACAATGTATTTGTCACATATGAGCATGGTGTAAAACTAAAAAATTCAGTCTCAACGCAGCGCTCAACTCGCAGCGTGTTGCCCGGACTCTGACCCCAGGTCACGCTGACCTCACGGCATGTGTGCTCACGAACTAAAGTATCCCGAACGCGAGGAGCCTTTCAAGAACCAAATTATGGTACGAGGTGGTGGAATCAGGCGTTCATCAATTTTTCACAAATATATTGAACTCAATACACTAGCGCGTTGCCTGTAGAAAGCACTGACCTCGCTCAAAGGCCCACATGAGCGCCGTCTGCTCCTCTCTCTTCTCGCTGTCCCCGCTCTGATCGCTGGCAGCCGCCACGAGGTTCATGTCCCCGCGGTTCTCCAGGAGGAACTGTACACACCTCAGGTGGCCGTGGTAGCAGGCACTGTGCAGGGCTGTGTGGCCGTCCTTGCCCTGGTAGTTAATGTCCACGCTTTGCTGCTCCAGCAGGAATTTGACCAGCTCCAGGCTTTTGCCGTACGTGCAAGCACTAGGGGAAAAAAAAAACATGGAAGAAAACTGAATACAACTGAACTGATGATCACCCATCGTCGAAGAAAAGAGGGTCCATTTTTGTTCAAGTGGTTCATTTGAACAGTGTCATTACAAAACAGAAAAAAAATGTACGGGAGGAAGTGGAAAGTGGTCATTTGTACTGGTGATTGTCTTGGACAAGAGGTTGTTAGAACAGGTTTAACTGTAACTTCTGCTTCTTCATTATTCACTTGACAAACACACCAGTCATCCAGACCAACTCAAATGTTCTCTGACAGTTCTCGCTGGAAATTGGAAAGGAGTAGAAAATGGGGAATGACTAACTCTTATTATTTACACGCAGTTCGAAAACAAATCTGTGGTTTTAAACCTTTGCTAAATGAAGAAAAAAACAGTACAAAAACTCCAAGTGGTGATATCTTAACTGCATGTAAAAATGATGTCGATTTAAGGGTTGTGTCCCTGCTTTTAGATGTATTTCCAAGGAAATAACCAACTTTAGACCAATATACCAGAGTTACAGGACACAAAATAATGAGCAATAGGTTTAACTCTTTCCGGACAGTTTTTTGGGGGTCTAGACATAATTAACTTGTGGCTCGATTTGACTATGCAGGTTTTGTACAAAATAACTTCATAGAAGCATAACTATGACTCCAAACGTAACATGATATATCAAATTGAAGGAAATTGAATGAGGAATACATTCCAACATGAAACAAGGATTAATTTTGAGCTTAAGTATGCATTAGAAGGGTTAGAAATGGCAATGGTGATGAGAAAAATGAATTTTGATGGAAAAAATTACATTCACCAAACATATGAAAGCAAATCAGCATAGCTGTCTTATCATATAAAGGCCAAGAGCATAATCCATAAATTTCTGAAAGTGCAGCTTTTTCTTTGAAAACAATATTCCAATTTTTGTTTAAGTTATGATATTTTCACTGAGTCCGGTTACATCGTTTTGTTGATGCAAGACCGCAAGAACTAATTCACTCGTTTTTCCTCAAACCCACACTTTGACAAAGTGAAATTAGATGTTTTCGTTTCCTAAATCCTTTCCAAGTTTTTCAATAGCTATAAGAAGTAATTATAAATGACAGACCGTGTTAAAACGAAAAAATACTGAGGCACCCTATCACAGCCGATATATCGGCGACACATCCGGAAAGGGTGAAGAGATACAGCTAACAATAGTACTTGGTTACGAGTCAACAAACTTTAAAATTTACGAGTTCTCAAAATTTAAAATGTGATATATGCAGTTGTTCTATTGAGCCCTTTATGAGTCAACATCCTTTCGGTAAAAAAATAACTAAAAAAACAAACAAGAACCCCCCCACCACCACACACGAAAACCAGTACTGAGTGCATGCCTCACCTGTGCAGTGGTGTTTCACTAAAAATGTTCTCCATGATCAGACTCTCTTGTCCTGTCTGAGCCACCAGCTGTTTGGCAATCTCCAGCTTGCCGTTGTAGCAAGCTCTGATGGATCAACACAAGTTGTATTCATCAAAAATGGCAATAATAATTTTGACTGCTAAGTGTAAGATTCCCCCATACAAGCATCGTTTTGAAAAGAGACAAAATACGGAGACTTACACTGAGCAGTCGCTTTGCCTCAAACCCAACTGCTGTTGATATTGTGTTTATGTTTATAATCATAATCATTTTTGACAGAACCAAGTTAACTTTTCTGCAAAATGGCTCTGCCTAAATGAGAAAAGAGAAACACATCCATGCAAAAATGGTAGTTTAGACCCAGGAAAGAGAAAGACGGATAGTAGACAAAAGAAAGGAAAGTAAAGAAGCAAGATGTACATGAGGTGGTGCCCTCTAACAACCCACAAATACAGCAACAAATTACTGACCGGCCCGGATTTGAAACAATGTGGGATAAAAAGTACGGAAACTATTTGTTACTCAGTCATAAAAGACGATCAAGTTAGTTTTTTAATCCCAATATTGTGAGGCTGAGAGATAATTAAAACACCTAGCTCATACACTAGAGTCATGATTTTTTGTATATATTAGTCTCATATCTTGTTTGTGAAGCAGAACAAAAATCTCACAAGTTTTAATAGGCTGTCTTGTCTGATGTGGGAGTCAGGGGAATTTCAGAGACAAGGGAGCTGGGAGATTGTATCGAGAGGGCTTGTTTATGGTAATAATGTGAGAGGGTCAGAGTTATCTAGGTTCAATTTAGTGTCAGTAAAAGTTTTCACAGGACATGCCAAAACAATCCTGCAAGGAACCATACAAGGAAAGAGAAAGAGAGGAAGGCAGAGAAGGAGATGGGAGGACAACATTACAGAGTGGACAGGAAAGATGATGGGTGACAATCTGAGGAGAGCAGAGGACAAAAATAGATGGCGAGAGCTGGTTTTCCAATGCAGTGGTGCCCCAACGGTTGCCCCAACCACGGGATAGAAGAAGAAGAAGAAGAAAAGTTTTGTAAGCTTTAAAAACACAATAAGGTCAAATGAGTGTCCAAGATTAAAGGTAGGAAAAGAATGAGGAGAGAAAATGACGAAGAATGTTTCGAAGGAAAGAAGACGCAAACCACACAAGAGTGTCGGCCAACCACCCAGTAATGTCATGTTGGGCAGAGAAAAAGTAAAATAGATAAACAGAAACAACAGTATGTGCAAATAAGGAATTTTTCTCCAGGCTGGGAAGAGTTACACCAAACTGTCTCTAAACCAGGAACTCACAGGTGGAGGGGCGTGTCTCCGTAGATGTTGGCCTCGTGGGGCACAGCCTGGTGGTCCAGGAGGTAGTGCAGGGTGACCAGGTGACCAGACTTGCAGCAGAAGTGGAGAGGGGTGTGTCCTTCATTATCTTTCACATTCACTGTCAACAAAAGCCACATCACAATTATATATAATATTTGCTGTCAAAAATGTTAGATTTCGTTTTAGTAAGAGTTTAATGGTTGAAGATTAAAGGTGTCACTGTAGCGTAACATATTTACAACAGGAGGAGGGATACAGTGATGGATGTTTGATAGGAAAGAAAGAGCCAACCACATCAGAGCACCAGTCAACCACCCATGTCAATCATTTGTTAGCTTATCTGTGTACTGAGAAGCACATCGACACAATAACAGTCACTTTGTGCAGAGAAATAAAATAAGACAGACAGAAACAGGTTACATTAGTGGCACCCTCCAACCACAGACAGCTGTCAAAAACGGCCTCATAACAATTACATTCACTGTCAACTCAAGTCATACAACAAAGCATCTCACAAAAGCTGTTTGTGTTTATTAAATGATTTAGTAAGAGTTTTACAGCACTTGTAATACAATTGGGTCATATAAGTGCGGAGGATTAAATGTGATACATGGGAGTAGCAAACACAGAAAATGGAGGAGAGAAAAGGACAGACGTTTGATAGAAAAGATAGAGCAAACCACACCAGAGCACCCACCAACCACCTACTGTGGGTTGAGTGAGTTACAGTTTGCTACAGGTCAGCATGACAATAGAAATCACCCATTGTCAGCAATGAATGAGCCCAACATGAACATGATGCAAAATGAAGAGAAAGGAATAGACCTACTGACCATGAGAACAGGTTGTGGAGTGGCAAGGTTGCCAACAAAGCAAAACTACTTGACGGGAGACTTATGATGAATAAGCATGAAGACAATTACTAAAATATGTCCAAGAGCAGCTGAGGAAAAAAGTAATGCTCAGTGGCTACTAGATTTACAACTTCAGCAACAACAATAATGAGAATGAAGAGTGGGTCTGGAACATTTTATATATTCTGGTACTCTTGAAATTTTGGGACGAAGGTGTCATCCCCCACTATTTTAGGCCCATTACCATCAGCCTTTTGTTGCGAAGTTCCTTCCACCAAAAGCTGCATGATTCTCAGGTTTGCTTTCGAGCTGGCGAGATGGATGGGTCTGTCACCGACGCTGCCACTGATGTTGATGTCGGAGCCATTGCTGAGGAGAAGCTCCACAACCTGGGACAGGTAGAAAGAAGAGAACCAGGACTGAAGTCAACTACACGGTACTTGTATCAGTCACACTGAAAGTAAGAATTTCAAGTTCACAGAAAAACAATTTAGATCATTCAGGAGGTGGGATGACTGTTGGAAATGAATCCAGGGTGTTTCACGTCAACATCAACACAATTAGGTCATTCAGAAGGCGAGATGAACGTCAGAAATGAATCCAGGCTATGTGGGCCTCTCCATCCAAGCACAAAGATAGGACACATCTGAGAAATCGAACTGTAATCCTTTGAGTGTAAGGCAAAGATGTAAAAAATTACACAATATAATATGTTGTTAGTAGCAATTGAAAACTATTTTACAATTTGGATTCAAAAGACAGAGCGACTATTGTCTCTTAAAAATGATGATAATTGTAATTAATTCATAATCAGAAAAAAAGCTGTCATTGTCATCATTTTTTCTCTATTTTTTGTTATTCTAGCAAATGATGATGAGACATTTCAACTCGCTTCACAACAAAATTTCATCAGGCTGGCATAAAAAAAACCACAAAGTAAAAGAAGAGTAAACCGAAAGGAGCATCCATCACTTGTAACCTAGTCGAACTTTACGGGAATGAAGATAGGTTCTGCATAGTCCAAGTGTCACAGCCTTTTTTTGCTTTACTTCTCTATTTGCGTCAAACATGAAATCTGCATTTCAAAAGACACAAGTTCCGCAAAAGAGATGTACAGCTTAACAGTCAGTCAATTTTGTTCAAACTGACAAACCCCCTCATAATATTTGTACGTCTATTCATAGCTTAAACTTGCACACACACACACACACACATATACACAGGACAGTACATTTCTTCCACATACATAAAATTCAAACCCTTGATCCACACTTTAAGTGATCTACTACAGAATACTGACCAATTCTTCAGTCAGCAAAAATACAAATCTCCTTCTGGGACACATACCTTTTCATGGCCAAAATGGCAGGCAATGTGCAGAGAGGAAAACTTGACAAGATCCCCCATGTCAATCTTAGCACCACTGTCTAGTAGAATCTTGGCAATCTGAAAACCAACAAAATGATTAACAGACATAACACTTTACATTCTCAATCAAGTAGGCATGAAAAAAAATCTTCAAAAATCTACATCACAAGAAGATGTAACTAATGACAAAATTTAGTTTCTGTGTGAGCTACATGAGCCATTCTCAAAAGGTGATAAGTTCTATAACACCTTTTTCCTTTGTTGCGTGTCAAACTTAGAAGAATTTGTTTAAAAGCATGCTTTCTAAATTAAGAAATGAACAAATCTTTACTGTTTAATAGGGAATCAATCCAATTCTACAAGTGAAAGAATGAAAGACAATGATTTTTTAAAGTATTGTGTTTATTGCGTTTATTTTTGTAGCAATTCTGTACATTTAATTTACCTCATGGTGGCCGCACATTGCAGCAATGTGTAGGGAGCCAACTCCACTGTGCCCAGCCTGATTCACATCAGCTCCATAAGTGACCAGCACTTCTACTTGCTCTGAATCGCCCTGCAAAGGTATTACAAATATATTGGTTTTCCCACAAGGTACTGGAGGTTCTCATGGTCGAGAGGTAGTGATCGGCTATCTTCAAAGGTCTTGGATTTGAAACTTGACAGCGACCCCCTAAAAAATTCTGTAAAATTTTCTCCTTTAACCTCATTTGACGTAGTCTAATTCAACTCACTTACTACTGGGCCCTTTCACCAGTCACAAGCGTTGAAGACTGGCGTTTTTCGGAGTATTTCAATAAATCACCACAACTCTCAAAATTACCCTATTGTAATTACTTTTTGACACAGTAAAGTAACATTCAAGCTTAATCTAATACAAAAAACTAAAGTTGTCTAAGTCTAATACGTTAATTTGTATGATCTTTAAAAAATTAGCATGAATTTGATTTTCCGAAAAATTTTCAGAGACGTGACAGGTAGAATGAAATTCACAACAACAACAAAAATAAAAGTTCAAAGTGTTCTGTTTTGATTTGTATGCATGTATGAGTGTTTGGTGAAAATATAAAAGCTGGTCTGTGCGTTGATTCAGACCCATACACTGAATTACATGAGACAGATGTATGGCACGACGTTGTGATTTCGTTGCGCGAACAACACCAGTACTAGAGTGCTAGATCTAGCCCTAAAACTACGACTCGGGCCGTGTTCGGATACATCTCCAGGGTCCTAACTATCAGACACATAATATTCTGAGACACTAGAACTAGTAAAACGTACAGAAGTATCGAAAACGGCGAAATTATGTGATTCTTGTTCATGCGACTTCTTCGACCGTTACTACGACGTGACTGTCGGATTACTATCAGCCGTATAGAAAAAACAAAGCGCGAGTTCCGGTCAGTTCAACCCCCTTCACCTTCAATAACTTAAAAACTACGGGCCCCAGAGATACGAAACGAAGTCTAAGTAGCTCAGGCTTGGCCAAACAAGGATACGAGGTGGGTCACGCGATCCGTGCGTGATTTATAGAGCGAAAAAAAAATTCCAAAGTTGGTCACGCACGGCTTGTGGGAACCGTAGCGAGCGTCCCGGCGGGGGTCACGCAACTGTTGTGTGAACCGTCTGAAGTGAGTTAATGTTCTGTCAGCTGCTTTCATCTCCACTTTCTTCCCCCTCCCCTCTCAAATCCCGACTTACTCTGAGCTCCTCTCTCCTTTATTCCTGAATCTTTCTACAACTACCCCCTGGCTCCTCCTTAACACACCCTGATTATAAGGTAGGTAAACTCAGAGGTCCCCTGTGCAAGTTGCCCACATTAAAGATCCCATGGAAGTCCTAAAATCAATAAGAGTAGGCTTTTGTCGTCATCCGTGCAAAATATTAAAATTTAATTCTTATCAAAACTGAAAATATTCTAGTCAGAATAATAACATAAAGAGTACCAATGAAATTGAAATGTGACTGCCTGAAGGCTAGGGCCCTATTAAGTTGGAAAAACAGTCATACATGTAAAAATCAGCTACGCCGCAGATAGAAGAACCAGCAGTTGACTACCCCTGATGTCCAGGAGAGGAACTCAAAGAAGAAGAAGAAACCTGGAACTGAAGGCTATGCCATGTAACTTACATGACAACAAAAGGCACTGTATAAAATATATTATAAAGACCAAAAATTATTGTCTAAATAAGAAAATAATTATGAGAATGTCAAATCTTAAGTCTTTAGTTTATGAAATGAAGAGATGAATTTATTAAACAAGAGGAGGACCAAGTTCTGAGATAAGAGACACACCTGAAAGCTTAAAGTTCTTTAGGGTCAGGCGAAAGAAAGACAAACTGAACTGACAGAGAGATGACCCCTAAATTCTGTGCATTGGGTGCAAAAGGGACATTGTTTAGAGTAGGACAGAGAGATAGAAAAGAGTTATGACCTAATGGTGATTCAATACAAGCAACCAAGGTAACTGCAAAAATAGGGAAAGAGATTTGTCCACTTGTTTAGGTATCTCAACTTTGGGATTTATTCATATTTTCTAGAATGTGACAAAAATTCAAAGAAAATGATCTACTTATAGGTGAATCTGGAGCATGCCAGCAGAGGAAAGCCAGCCTCCTAATGCATGTTCAAACATGGGGTAAAGCATACCTATGTCAAATGTGGGATCAGTGGTAACAGTCTTTAGCTTCCAGCCAAAGAATGGAACATGCAAAATTAGTAACAGTAACCATTTACCTGACATCAATGAGAATGAAGCTGAAGAAAACCCTCCCCCAAGGTTTGCCTCCAACAACTAAAACTGTTAAGAGTAGCAAAGATGTTTTCAGAAAAAACAACAACAAAAAAAAACAACAGAAGACCTCTGGAAGTGTTAATGTAAGATTACCCGGTACACAGACAGCTGGAGGGGAGAGAACTGGTTCTTGCTGAGAATGTTCACACTGGCTCCTTTCTTCAGCAGTCTTTCAAGCTGACTACAGGGGGCTACAAAGGAACAGAAAAAAAGAAGAAAAACACTATGCATGAACATGGAGGTTGGTAGGGGTTTAAAAAATAGCAAACAAATTATTTCTCATTGCAATAATATTTGACAGACAGCTGAGCAGCAACAGTGCTGAGCCCTTTTCCAAACATCATTGAAACTAATTGGATAATAGACATTTCGAATATTCGACCTATTGAATATTTCATGTTTTAAACATTGAACTTTTTCAACATAGCCTTTCTTGAGTAGGAGTGTTTCTGGATTTAAATAATAGGCTTCCATCCTCATCACTGCCCTTCTAATCCTGCATCAGGGCATACTATAGGCAAGGAATAAACACTTTCAACCTTTCCCAATCCTTGGCCAGACTCTTGATTATATTTAATGTATTTCAACTCTTCTTTACATTTTTTGTCTGTAACTCTTCTCCAGGTTCCATGTGGCCTTCCCCATGATCCCTTACCCAGTGGATTCCAATTCGACACTTTAGCTGCTGCAGTACCTTACTTAAAACTACTTTGCCCAAAGGTATAGTCCCATGAGAGTTAACGGTTTACTACTCATATCAACTGCTCACCTCCAGCAATGCAAGCAATATGCAGCAATGTAAGGCCTGTTTCCGTCTTCTCATGACAGTCTGCTTCTGTCAGCAACTGTTCCAACTGACACAGGTCTGCCGTGCTGAACAGAACAAAAAATATTTTTTTTCAAATGTTTGAGCAAAGAGAAGCAATTAAGGTCATTTAGTGCGGGGGAAAAGTAAGACAGACTGACAAGAACAAAAAAGGGCAGTTAAAGAGGTAGGACCTACCAGTATCAGAGAACAGAAAAGAGAAAAAAAAACACACAACAAAAAAACCCCAAACATGTCTCTGTCAAAGGATAAAAATTAGTCCCTCCAAAATGTGCTTGATCGCCCAGAAAAGTCGAGCCATATGGAATTAAGTTTTAGTCTTGCAATGTGACAAGAGGATGAATCATGTAGCTAATACCATAACAGCAGGAAAATTTACTTCACAATAGTGAAGCAAATTTTTCTGGCTGTTATTCTAAATACTGACTTTGCTGCAGCTTGCTGCACTTCATTCCAGTCACTTTCTTTAGGGCGCAGCTCCTCAATGACCTTCGACCTGAACAGGGCATAACTCTCACTGATCTTCTTCTTGAGCTCATCTGAACAAGTGAAAATAACACCACATCATACAAATCTTGTAGGAAGTAGGATAGGATAAGATAAGATAAGATATGATCAGTATTGATTGTCCAGATCCTGGCACATTGACATTGGTTTGTAATATAATGTTGCATAAATATAAGCCTGTGTCAGAACCTGAGCATTTAACTATGTGTGAACCAGTATTGTTTAGTAGGCTACTCCTTATAGAAAACATACACTTATTTATTATAACTGTTTGTTGTTACATTTATTAATATTTCTTGAATTTGAGTGAATTAAACTTCGACAGCCTGTCTAACACATCTCAAACCTGTACTGAGTCACCTAGAACTACAACTCTGACTCATCCACTAAGTTAATGAGCAGTACTTTATGACAAGTTAGCTTTGCAAAAAAGAACATCTTCCCTTGAACAGAATTTGATCAATGTAACTGAAAAGAAGTAAACAGAACAATGAACACCTACCTACCATCAACCACATACCAGATTAAATACAAATTCAGAGCTGCTATAAAGTCTTACCAGTACAGGAGATGGGGGGCCGGGACTTATAGTTGCCCATTACCGCTTATCTGTATGGACGGGGCTCTGCCTCATCACATTGCCACAATATATTGATGTCTCAGTAAATCAGTGTTTCATCTCTCTGCACAAAGAAAAAAGGTGATACATATAGCAATACAATATCATAGCTACAGTAAAAACTTGTCTAAAATTATGCACTTATTTATATTATCTTAATCCCACACAAATAGCCATGAATGTTTGAACTAATTTTGAGATTGAATCAGTCCCTGGAATATCAACAGTGGGTTGCTGGGAAACATTAAAAAAGACGTAGAATTTATTCTTCGTGAATAAAAAAATCCCCAAAAATTAATTTAAAAAAACCCCTCCAGCTTTTTTGTGTTTTGTTTTTAGTCAGTTTAGTTCTCACTACAATTACAGTTAATAAACCATGACTCTTTCAGCTGTAAACTTGAAGGGCCTGTAAGCACCCAGGTACTTAAGTTATTTATAGTGCCTGGTCTGGTTTATGATGAAATGATCAGCGGATAATTGCAGGTTTTCTTCTCAACCTCATATAACTTTGAAACCAGGAAAATATGAGAGCTGGTGACTTTAAAAGATATATGACAAAGGCTTGGAAGTTTCATAGAGGCCCATTATGCTAATAAAATACACTTCTTTCTGTCAAAAGTTAAATAAAGCAATCATGCTCTGGCTCAGTTTAAAATTAATCACTTCTGTACCACTTAGTACTTTTTAAGCAAGAAACAAACTTTACAACTGGAACTCCTTGTCCATTATGACATATAAAAAGCAACACTACCATACCAATAAACATTTATTTATATGCAAACAGAAACTTGTCAGTTCAGAATGAAAAATTTTTGTAAAATGATTTCAGATCCAGGCAAAACAAAGAAAACGCATTCTTCTCTCAATATTCCATGGTATCATGTTATGGATTTAATGCTCCTTCCAATACTGTATTGTCATTTAAGAAAGGACATTTGAATGCCCATTTGATTTATAAGGCTAAGCCTTTAAAACTCCTAAAGTGAAAACAACCTAAGTTCAAGAACTCCCCATTATAGAGAATTGGAGCACAGCACTATAGCCCGGCATGATGCTGAGTCAAGTCCCCACCTGGAACCAACCCCCCCACCCCCACCCTTCCTCCCCTTTAAACAAATTAAGTGAACCACAAAATTATCAAAAATGAGGCAAAATATAGAACTATTAAAAAACATCAAATTTTATTATACCTCATAAACTTTTGATTTGTGCCAGATGTAATGTTGAATACAAATAGGAAAAATGTTTTTTAGTAGACGTTTTACGGCGCTTGCAACTGCATATAAAGTCATATGAGCACCAGAAGATTAGAGGTGTTACAAGAGAGTAACAAACATAAAAAAGAAGAAGGGGAGATAAGGACGATAGATGTTTGATAGGAAAGAAGAAGCAAACCACACCACAGCACCCGCCAACCACCTACCATGTAAAATGATACTATCATTGCAAACAAAAATTATGGGACAACATGGCTTGGGACAAACAAATGAGAACAGTGAGCGACTTGCAAATATCAGCTTTGTCATTGGAGGCTCTGTTTTTCCTCACAAGAATGTACTGCCGACCAACCCGCAATGCATGCATATTGTGGTATAGCGGAATGGCCGATTGCAGGAAATGCGCAATCGGGCAGGTTTCTATAACATTAACTTATTGCCGAAAGAATTACCGTAAATATCCGTAACTACTAGTACTAGATGATACGAAGGCGAGTACGGATCTTTTGCTACGGAATTTCGGTAGTCCCACGCTGTTGCAGCTTTTTACGGAGGGAGCTGATAATGAAGGAGGAACAAGTACGGAAATGGCAGAAAGTACAGATTTCCGTAGAAATACGGAAGAGTGGAAGCACTGATCATATTATAGCACACAACCCCTATCACACCAAGCAATAACACCTAGGTCTTAGACAGCCACCGTAGAGACTCCACAGTCATAAATTGTGCATTGGCCCGTGGCGTTGTGGGCGAGCCGTCATAATCCAATCACCTATCGTTGATGTAAGGGGTAGCCTAGTCCCTCCAACCGATCATGTTGTTTTTGCCCCTCCTGCTGTTGACCAATAGGTTTATGTAACAAATTTTCAGCTGCTGGTGAGGAAAGCTTGTGATCCCTCATAACCCATAAGCCCAGCCAAGAAATCATACACACAAATCGTTTGTAAGTGAGATGAGTGGTCTGTAACAAAGTAACAATGGATGTCAACATGAACTTGTGACAGAAGTGTCGCTCTTTCTCCGAGTGGTGGCGACCAATGTGTTTGTTTTACAATAACACTCGGTCCTCCTCGGGTGACACATTTAGATCTAGTTTTTAAATTGACACCCTTGCACAAAAGCAGCAACAACAAAAAAAAAACCCCAACGAAAACAACAACAACAATGCATGTGGCTAACTTCGGGGCGCTTCTTCGGTAGTTCCCACCCCGCAATTGTTATTCGTGGGTTTTGGCCCCAAGAGTAGTGTGTCAGGACTAATAAAAATAAGGTGGTGGTTTCAGGGGGCATGCCCCCCTGATTTTACCATAAAAATTTGATGTTTTTCAGTTGTTAGGTCGCCGCACATCAAACATATAGATCTAGATGTAGATCTAGGCTCAAATAAGAGGGGTGGGAACTACCGAAAAAGCACGAACTTCGGTTGGGACCTCAGAAAGTTTGAGAAAGGAATGGTTTGTTTTCTTCATCTCGATCAGTCCTGCCTAAGACGGCCACTTTTCTCCTTGACAATGGGCCGCCGTCTTACACAGGTTCAACTATAGTGACAATAGTGTCAATAGTCACTTCGTAATTTCAAATTCAATGACTTGTAAAGATTTGTCAGGTGTGCGAGTTTCAAGATTCTAAGTAAATCTAAATGTCCGTTTCTGTATTGATCATGGAAGTGTGAGAATAGAAATAGGATCTACCTCTCACTCCGGGTGAGACTTGCCAGCGTAGGCTATTCTCACCCGGTGTGAAACAAGACCTGTTTTTCCTCATTTCGGAATACTTTCTATCGGTGTGGATGATCAAATTGATAAAAGCCAAGAAAAAATTACGTTATAGCACAAAAGTAAGCTAATTTGATCGTCTTCAAAGATGCTATGGCTATTTCACTTTTCGAATCGAGCCGAACTACGCGGGTCACCATTTTGTTTTGCCTGGAAGTTCTCGCAAGATCTACTCCTCCCCTCTCTCTCTCTGAATACTGTCTATCGGTGCGGACGATCAAATTAACCAAAACAAAGTTTTAAAATGATGTTAAAACACAAAAGTAAATTAATTTGGTCGTCTACAAAGATGCTACGGCTGTTTAACTTTCCGAATCGAGCTGAACTACGCGGGTCGCCATTTTGTTTTGACAGGAAGTTCTTGGGCTACTCCTCTCTCTCTTTCTCTCTCTCCACTGCCCACAGACAAAATTGCACGCTTTTAGGCTAACACTAACAGTAGTAATAGAACGTTTTATAAGACAGAGATAGCTAAAGAGAGAGAGTAATTCTGTGGTTCAGGGTGAACGCTTACTGGTTGGCCTAGGCTATACTATAACGGTGAACACCCACCGGGTAAGAATAGCCAAAAGACTCGCCTGCGCTATTCTCACCCGTAGTGAGAATAGAATAGAGGTGCGGCCATTGATCATCATCATGAAAGACAGTTGCAGTTAGATCTAGATCTAATCTAGATTCTAGATCTACTAACAGAGAGAGAGAGATAGAGAGAGAGAGAGAGAGAGAGAGAGAGAGAGAGAGAGAGAGAGAGAGAGAAAGTTCACGACTCAACTTCAACGAAACAAGAAGTTAGAAGATCTACTTTGCTCACCGGTTCTCCCAACAGAAGGAAGGGCTATCTCGATCTCGATCTAGAATGCACTTCAGTAAAGCAGTGGATAAAAGCAACAGGAAACATTAAAATTTATGACAGTGATTTCCATTCAACACAAAAAAAACGAAGCGTAGGCTAGAACTATTCATTTCCAAAACATTACAAGACATTTTACAGGCTCAGTGCTCTTCTCTTCGCCGACGACGATAGATTCTAATTTCAACCCAAAGAAGAGTTCCACTCAATATTCTCCAACGACATGATTACCTAGATGAGCAAGATAAAGGGAGATAACAGTAGCATTTATGCATGGCGTAATTTTAATATTTCGACATGGGGACAATAATTACGTTATATGTAGGCCTAGATTTATCTCTTTTAGCCTGAAGCGTTCTCTCATAGAATTTTAACGTCTTCTCTCTCTCTCTCTCTCTCTCTCTCTCTCTCTCTCTCTCTCTCTCTCTCTCTCTCTCTCTCTCTCTCTCTCTCTCTCTCTCTCTCATGTTGCGCAACTTGTTGCCAAACATATTACAGTGCGGTCAGAAATTCGTGGCGCATCTTATCTTCAAATATCTCTTTATCGGGTGAACCAAGGTCACCCATACTTTGCACAGCATTTTGCATCAGTTTGTCTTAACTTAATCATATTTTTCAACAACAATTTAGGCCCGATTAAAAAAACTTTTCTTCATAAATTTATATAAAATACTGTAAATCTCCATCACGCGGAAAATGTGATGGTTCACAGCACTTCCCGCTTCTCGCACACATTTTGCATACGCATACATATGTCTGCTCCGCTCTATATCAGTCGTAAAACGCACTGTGCTACTATCAGCTACGAGGCTCGAAAGGCAAAAAAGTGACTTTCCATTAAATGTTTGTTTTTTGGATACACTGTATATTGAAAGTTTGATGTCTTCTGCTTCATTCAAGATAAAAATAAACAACTATAATCGACTATAAATATTTTATTTTGATTTATTTTGGAGGTGTGTGTGGTTTGTTGTGAGCTTGGGTAACGAGATAAAGGAATTTGGGCCTTGCTAGTGTGTAGTTGTGAGATTATTTTTAGGATCAATGCCTCATGGCCACCTTTGCTTCAACCAAAGATTCTCCATTGGTGGAAAATCTTTGCTCTAACGTTCTTCATTTCCAACTACTTTTAGATTTTGACCCCTTTTCGAGCATGAACGGTCTGAAATGTAAACAACTCTGATTGGTAAAACGGAGTAACAACGGTAACTTCTAGCTCACTTACCAAGCTTGTTTCCGTAAACAGCTGACTGTGTGGGCATGCCCTGCTAGCTGCTATCGTCTGTTGATCCTTCAGTTTTACACTTGGATTGATTTATTAAACAATTCGTTTTTATTGTGTTTTAGAGCTTTTAAAAGATTAATTAACCTTCCTTTAGACTTCTCAGAGCGGACTGCTCCTTACCAAGAGGCCACCGAGGTGGTCTATGTGCATGTGTGCGTATGTGTTGGTGTGTTTGTATGTATGTGTGTGTGTGTGTGTGTTCGAGTGTGTGTGTGTGTGTGTGTGTGTGTGTGTGTGTGTGTGTGTGTGTGTGTGTGTGTGTGTGTGTGTGCGCGCGTGCTCTCTCTTGTGTTTATGGTGCTACTGCAAACGAATAATCAGGTAGCGTATACACGGCACGTAAGCCGACTCGTGGCCTTCTGAACGCGTGGTTTCGGTGAAATAGGGGTAATTCAGATCTCTGTTTCTCTGCTCTTTTGCTATAAAACACCAAATGCTGAACATTTTGAAAAAGTTCAGATTTTCTTCGTTATAATAGTGTAAGTTGTTTGTATATCCGGGTATTTGGAGCTGGAGAATTGCCGTGGAAAGGGAAGCCCCTCGCGGTTGCAAGGTCCCCCGGTTCAAAATTGACACCCATGCTTTCGAATCCTTTGCAGAAAGATTGATGATTTAATACCGTCTTTTTATCGGCGGAGAACTATACAGCTTTGAGCGTGGTTTCCCGTGGTTATTACTTTTTGCCTTTGGCGTTTAGACAGAAAACCTTGAAGAAAAAAAAATCTAAGTTTTCAAAGATCATTTTAAACACGAAATGTGTAAAATACCGGCTAAAAAAGGTACCAATAGAAAGAACAGTTCTTTTAAAAAAATTAGAATAAAGTCATCGGCTTGGAATTATTTTGCATGAGTCCTTCTGAGAAACTACCGGGAACACTCAGTATACTACAGTATTGAGCCGGCTCGCTCGCTTGCAAATGCTGGTGCGATGCCGGCAGAGACAACGCTCGGTGTTTTTATTGAAATAACGACAGATCATTGTGTTTTAATGATCTCACAATCTTGAGAAATATTAGGCTTCATTTTGATGTTATCGTGATTGTACCCTTTTAATGTAGAGATGTTTGGTGCTCTTGGTACTCTTTTATTATCTGCCACACATGGGGTTGCAACCAGTTAACGACTTCAGCAATATCTTATTATTATGTTAAATTGAAACAGCTGCCATTCTCTAAAAACATTGACTGACAGGTAAAAGTTTGGTACCAAACGTCTCAGGAGACTTAGGCCTTTCATATGAATTTGGCATACAGCTACTTTGAAAATTTAGTATCTGGTACCTATAGTATAATGCTAATACTTTGTTGCATTTGACGTGAAGTCCATTCTCGTTAAAAATTTGTTTGGTCCATAAGGTTTTTGCTCTGTAAATGAATAGTTTTCTACTTTTGTATGTTAGCTTGTAGTCGCATAGCCAAGACAACTGCTAAATTTTAAGTCTCTATCTCAATTCTAAGACTCCCATTGCTATGGAAACGTGTTGCTCAACTTCGGAGGCCATTTTCTCCATTTCGTGTTTCCTCACCTCGCACAATTAAAAGTTCTGTATTTTTGTCAAATATTGTCATATTTACTTCTTTCTTGTTTTAAATTGTAGGGAAAATGTGATAGTTTTAGAAAATAATGTTAACTCAATTTTGAAATTTCCTTCATATGATGATATTGACCGGCAGGGACACATAGTATGGGCTACACCACAGCTTGCTAATGACACTTTTTAGTGGTAAAATTTCTTACAAAGAATATTTTTGTAATGAACACATTTTGTGCTCTAAAGGTTCCCTAAACATACGTTCAATAAGCATACTTTTGCGATTAGGAAACAAAATGATAGACTTGCTTTTAAAAGCGATATTGCCTGAGCTGTAAGCTTTTAAAAATCTGTAGAAACCATCGACTAAAGAATCTTAGGTAGTAGGCCTAGGCTACTTAATTAGTTAACTTACTTGAAACGAAAAGTGTAATTTTAAGGACTCAAAAGTGACATTACATTATCGTAAGTCCAGTGGGACTTAATTAAAACTTCAACAAAATGCAAAGCAGGTACGTTTGTTTGCACCCCAAGACACACGATCTGACTAATTGGGAGCCCAAGGGTTAAATATAATGAAGAGATTAAAAAACTATAATTCTTTCAACACTCATGGCCACCGGCGTATGTTTGTTGTAAGGTCCTTGTGTGTAATGGTTAGGCTCTTCGCTGTTGTACACTGAGGAAATTGGGTTCGGTGTCCTAGTGGGTATAGACCCCTTTGTATATCTTTTTTTTTTCGAGTGTCACCGTATGCCTGCTGGTGTGCTGAAGGCTTAGGCGGTATACCATGTCATTGCATGATCCCAGAATATTGGCCGTACCAGGGAGTGGACGTAGCAGGCCTCCTTAATAATCTAAATTGTATCGATGCGCCTGTAATATCTGTAAATTCGATGCGCCTGTATATCTGTAACCCCCCCCCCCCCCCCCGTCCTATTTGATCAGACATAAGACGGACATTAAACTTATTGCATGTTTGCTAAATACATGTATAACTTAACTGACTGGTAAGAAAAGGCAAGTGCTCCTTAGATATCGTTTGAGAACTAATGAGAACAGAAAGTGTATGGTGCTGCAATAAAGATGGAAGGTTAGAAGGCGATGGAAACGTAAATTGAAGTAAGCAGCCGCTCCAGTAGCAAGTTTCTGCTTCATAAGTTACGAAGAAACTAAGAAATAGTCATGATGGAAAACTACCCCCCACCCTCCCCTTTTCCCCCACTGACACTTTAGATAACTTTGGAGGCGGGGAGCCTGATCCCAGATGACAGGGCCGTTGCAGGCTAGGCGGGATACAGCATCGCATGAGAATTATTTTATACTGAATAAGACTGAATAAGACTCAAACTCACGTCCTCAGTGCCCTGTGGTGAAAAGCCGAACCACAACACCAGTTTTGTGACAGTTATGGAATGATCTAGTGTATTGGGAAATACATTAATTAAAAAAGGAAAAGGTTAAATATAGACCAAAGAATTTGGGGCATGAATCTACGGATATAATTAAAACAGGAAAAACATTTTTAGTTATAAGAGCTTGGGATAGATACACATCTGCATTCGACTATTATATTAGCATGTGAAAAAGGCAACTAAAATAGCTAAACATATTTCATTGTTTTATCCACCTTCATCTGTCAGTAACTACGATCTACAACATTAAATACAATACCGTTGGATTTTTAGTGCATTGAAGCCAACAAGTTTGATTAAATCTGTACTTTTAAGTCTATCAATACCAAGAAATAATGTTGGAGTTTTGGGCGTTTTTAACAAATGGCTTTAGTGAGATGAACAATAACGAAAAGAAATTATAAAGACTAATATTAGACCCCGCCTTCCATTTTGAGAGCAATAGATCCCTCCCCACCCCCAACCAATCTTGACTTTTTTAAAGGGGACATAGGGCCTTGGTAGTCTGCACTGCTCATATTGCCTTTGATGGTGATGGTGGTTAAAAAATCGTTATCGAGGGTGATGGTATATAGTAGTATGGTAATAATAGTGATAAAGTAGGCCATGGTGGCGGGAAAGATGACATTACTACTACTACTACTACTACTACTACTACTACTACTACTACTACTACTACTA